GATTAATAAACCCTATTCATTCATTCACCATACATAATATAAAAAAAATATTGAGAATTTATGTAGTTTTGTTGTTGTAAGTTCAACAAACAACTAATAGCAATAAAACTAACTTACCTAGTTGTTATTTTTTCAGAACTTTTGTTAAATATTAAAATGAAAATTCCTAGACCTACTATGACATAAGTACCTATTTTATTTATAACACGTAATATTATTATATACCGTAGTTAGATGCCACTTTTAATTATATCGCAGCATTCAATTGATTTCCATAAATTTAAAAAGCCTCTGTGCTCACTTCCATTATGTTAGTTTCCATTTTCCTCTATACAAATAAAAAATATTTTTATTCAAAGATTACTTTGTATTAATCGAGTTGCGATTGCATAACTCGAACTAGTTAAATTTCAACTCGATATTAATCCAAGTTATCAGATCCATAACAACACTAACAAATCTATTCTCTTTGGTTTAACGTCATGAATTGACGTTTAGATCCAACAATTTGTGCTGCCATCTGGTAACATAATTTTTTTTAGTTTCTTTATTTTTTTAAATACTTCCTCATTGACGCAATGATGTCAGACGTACCAACTTCTTGGTATACATCATAGACATAAAAGAAGAGGACCGGCCATACCTACGAAAAAAGCGTATATGCCTAAACTTGAAATGCAAATTCTTCGATGGCGGACTGTCATAAGGCGCGACCCATGATATCGATATTTGTATCGACATTGAAGTCATATTAAATAAAAGTTAGTATTTCGTGAAACTGCTACAAAACTACTACTTATTAAATAAAGTAATATTATTTCCATTGTTAGGGGCATGGCTAAACTATTACCTATTATACTTCTATTCGTTTCACACTTACGTACCAATCCTATTTATGATTATTATTAATTAAATAGATAAATTCACGCCAGTTTTAAGGAAATAATATTTTGTTTAAAGTGGCGTGAATTTATCAATTATTTATAAATCTTTAAGCAATCTTTTGCTCGTGTTTTGTTGGACATCTAAAAGTCTCATTTTTCTTGCGACTCCGTTGCGTCAGTATAGTAATTATAACCTATGTTACCAGCGTATGATGGCGCTTCCCACCGGTAAAAGATTATTCGTATTCCAAATTTCATCAAAATCCGTTCAGTAGTTTTTGCATGAGAGTAACCAACATCCATCCTCACAAACTTTCACATTTATACTATATAAATATTATTTTATAATATGATTGTACCTCGATAAATATGTTTCTTTTTCCTCTAATATAGACAATTTTACGTAGTTTTAAGAACTATAGTACCAAAATATATATCTTAAAAGTTTAACAATAATATCAATCGTGTTTTATAATTATTTCCATATATATTGTAAAGTTGATATTTTGCAATTATAATTAAATAGTTTTTTTTAACATAAGTTTAATTTTGCATCCACGGGAAGTGTGACCACTGTCCAAGATAACTGCCACGGTAACTATAATAAGCTTTAAATGAGTCGATTGAAGAATGAATTATTGCTTTTTTTTCTGTTATATATTTTTTATTGTTATAGTGGAAAGTGACATTTTGGTCCAATGAAGTCATTTTTTATTTTTCAGTACGAAATTAAACAGGGTGCAAAAGCAGCACTTGCAGTTTCTTACCGGTTCCCCTTCTTCTTTTCTCGGTACAAGGTTTCCCGTAATAGATTGACGAACTATAAGCACAGAGTTTCGACTTTCTTATATGCTTGTAACTAGTAAGCCAACTTGTCTATAAATTTATTCAATAAATTGTATTGACTGAATAAATTTCGCTTACTAATCATTAAGTGAGATACCGTGCGTACTGTGTCACAATTTTAGTTCAGAGCATCTTGTTTAGTAGTAAACATAGAAAACTTGAAACACCTACATAATCTTTGTATTATATTATTTGTAAAAGAACATAAAAATACTGTAAACTTTGATGAATAAACAAGAGAAAATAAAGAAAACAAAGTTGGTAGATGAAAAAGTGATATAATTAATTAAAAAAGTAACAATTGGCATTTTATTTAAAAATTTGGTTAGCAAAAAGAAAACAGCCGATAAATCAATGGGCAAGCATACAAATATTTTCTCAGCACTAAAACTGTCTGCAATTCATGTTCTGTGAACAATCATGATAACGGTCAGCAATTTAAATACAAAAAGGTAGCGTATTTTATGATGCACCAGCAAAATAAACAGCCACGCCGCAAAATAATTATTTGGGTATTAAGATTATACTATTGAACAGCAAAGAAAACCTTTAAATTTTTATTAAAATTATTTAACTCATTCTATTGTAATTTTACTGGGAGTATATTATGATCAGAATTTTATATTTTAATATTCTTATACATTGCATTCTGATTTTTTCCAATTAAAATAGTTGTCATATGACCGCAAGACTAAAAATAAGGTATATTTATATAATAAAAAAATGACTATATAAAAAACTAAATAAATAAAACAGTAAAATCAAATGAAAATTAACTAAGTGTAATTTGTAAATTACTAAAATGTAAAATTAAGTTAAAAGCAATTGTCAAAAATTATTACCAGCGTATTTGATTGGCATCATCTCGTAATTTTATTATATTTTAAGTTCGATTCAAACAATTTTCCCTAAAATGAAGTGAGCAGATAAAAGTAACTTTTTCATTATATTTAATATTTTCTGCTCCAATGGAACTCGGCCATATTCCTCTTTTTGTTTCATCTTTTGGTAATCTAAAATAATGAATATATTTTTAAATAATAAAATTATCGATATAAACCAAATGTTAAAGTAACAACACTAGCCATGTAAACAACATTATTTACGGACCGAAATATTATAGAAATATAAACGAAAAGAGCAATATAACATAAATAGAACACGCCGAAATACGATATGTATCGATTTATACACGCAATCATTTTCAGAATAACTTACTTACGTTTTAAATACTGTTTTTCTAAGAAAGTATTTAACTTACCGGTGAAACGTAATATTGCTCGGTTTGCGGGATATCGATGACGCACAACCAATTACTCTGCACCTAGGCATTGTTTTGCATAAATAATTTATAAGTTTCTGCCATGAAAGTAATATAAATTAAAGTTATAAATGAAAATAACCACAAAACTAATAAAACTGACAGCTGAACTACTTCCGAGAATACGCACTGCAACTTTGCAAATGGCGGACAGGAGGACAAATTTTAAACTGTCACACTAGTGCGATCTTTGTTTACTAAAGAAACTTCTTATTAGTTAAAAAAAGACAACATGATGTTTTCGATGTCAACTTCAGATTGCATGATATTTGTATAACCATAGAAAATATTTCCACTCTACCTTACTCTATGGGATACATACTAGTTTTTAGTGTCACGTACCATGTACCAAGACTACTCAGTCATTGTATGCAAAAATACCAAGATTAGCCGTTGATCGACAAAAATACAATGACAACATAGAATAATCGACAAATTTCAGAGATGCATGTAAAAAAACATTCCAAACAGATTTCCTTAATGTCATAAAACTTTATTACATCAAGCTGTCTCGATGAGCCGTTAACATTTTCCGCCGTTATTTTCTCAATATGTTAGATAGCGTAATGGTAACGCGTTGCGCTCACGTTCACGGGGCCCCGGGTTCGATTCCTGCGCGGGATTTTTTTTTTACGCCCTTAGAATCAGTTGTTTGCACAAGCGAGTTGTCGAAAAAAAATCTTCGTTACAAATCATTTATTTTTTTTCAATATATTTTACATATTATATCCGAAATGCAATATAATATTAAAAAAAAATGTTAAAAGTGATATTTCTTCCGTGTGTTCGATAATTACAGCCCTCTATTAACGGTATACGAAATTGAAAAGTGCATTTTTTTTTACTGAGATGCGATTTCCCACACTGTTTGTCTCCCAGAATTGGCAGCGCCAGAGCGGAGCACAGGCGTACTCGTTTCCCCCCCTCGAATACCAGTTTTCAGCCAGCTCGGCACAAGGGTTTCTAAGTCGCCGTCTAACATCCCTGAATTGACGTTTAGAGCTGCCATGCCATTTAGTGTCAATTTTTTTAGTTTTTTTTTTTTAATAATTTCTCGTTAGTCATTATAAAACAAAGCATAGGCTATTCCATGCACTGCGATCCTTAAAATAATCATCAATTTTATAATAACCTTTACTCATAAGTATGTTTATTACAAAGGAAAGGAATAAAAATTATACCGCACGCAGTGTTACCAACCTTATTGTTTTAACAGTAGATTTTTTCAATTTGATGCCTCTGTTTTCTGTTTAATTGCTAAATTTTCTGTTTTTTAAGTTGCACCACTATTCACACACACACACACACACACCCACCCACACACACACACACACACACACACACACACACACACACACACACACACACACACACACAATTGCAAATATAATCTAATTGCTAATTACTACTCATTTGCAACCAGAGAAAAGCGCATGAAGATATTCAACAAAAGTATGCTTTTCAAAAGGTAAATGAGTCAGAAAATACGAAAGATTGAGGATGAAATTAGAAAATAATTTTATTTTTTACTACATTTTATTTTTCTCCTATTTTTTATTTTGCCATCAATATTATAATTTAATAAATATATGTAAGTCCTGATAGCTAAAAAATTTGAGTACAGTATCAAATATGCCTCTTTTACTTAACCTACTGTTTTCTACTGCTTTTTTTATCGGTGATCTGTCGTTTTTTTTTAGTTTCTTAGGGTTGGCGACACCGGCCACACGACTTTATTTTGTGAAGCAGACCTTACATATTTTACTCTTTAATATATACTTTACTCTTTGGTTCCGAACAAAACACTAGTTAATATTTTGATGAAGTCGTAAAAAAAACCAACAGTATATGTATTTATCTATAATATTTAGAGTTATACTTAGCACAGAACACTTCTAATCACCAACAGTTTCAACTTTTGCAGATCTACAAAAAATCGTAATATACCAATGGATATGCATACATTTTGCCGTAAACTTCCAAAAATTGTAAGTATACTGTAGCGGCGATCATAATTTCGATATATGCCATCGAATTTCTAGCTGATATTTTTGTAACTAAAGAGATTGTAATTAGAAACTTCAATACGATTTTTCTAAGTCTTTATTTTAAAAGAAGCCGAGACCATAGTGCAAATTAGGCCGAGATAAAAATTACACGACAATTAATAATTATAGGTTATCTTTCTATTTCGACATCAATAAAAACTGTTTCAAAGCAAATGCTTATTGTAAAAGTAGAATGACTAAATTGTAAAATCTTTGTCCTCATTGACTCTATTTTCTAAATATTCTAATTAAGTTTAAAAATTATAATCTTTGCAACCATTTAATATCTTTTTGACAATTCGAGTACTGATCAAATAGTGATGTCTACCAATTCGCATTACCAATTCGATTTATCTTAGTAATCGATTTTATTTATGAAGAAGTTTTAATTGATATTTTATTTAAGTATGCATAACATTAAGTATTTATTTCTAAAAAAACGGGTATTTATTTTTTAACACCACGTTAATTGAAGTCACTTTATATAACGCCTTTGGATATTAATATGATTTCATCTATAGGTACATGGAATAAAACAATAATTTTTATATAGTATGATTCTTCTTCATATGAATTAGAATCGTCACTAGAATCATCACTGACATTAATGACGAATTGTTTAGTACAAAAATTATCGAATGCAATATTACGATCCCAATCCGAAAATATTTCTCTTTTCGTTTTTTCAACGACGCTTGCCCAGTTTTTAGGCGTCACATTAGAACACACATGTTTTAAGAAATCTAACATTTTGTTTGCAATGAAAGGAGCAGTAGTATTATTTCTAGCAGCGTGTCCATTTATTTGTGCCCAAATGAGCTCAATGGCATTGCATTGACAGTGGTATGGGGAATTCTTAGTACGATATGCCCATGTTCTGCTGCCATTTCGTCAATAAAATATCATTTCGGCCGCTTTTTTGATATTAATATATTAATTTGATATGATATTAATTTGATGAATTTTGGTGTATACCACCGGTTTGGGATCCAGTTATTAGTCAAATAAAATCTCAGCCCAGATCACACATTGCTAAACCAAAAGATACAGTTAGTTTATTCTATAAATATTAAATTAAAGGGAGCACTTTTTGCTGTCGGAGTTTATTTCGCCAATGAGGAAGTATTTAAAAAAATAAAGAAACTATAAAAAAGTATGTCTCTAGATGGCAGCACAAATTGTTGGATCTAAACGTCAATTCATGACGTTTAACCAAAGTACCAAAAAAAGGATACTATCCCGTTTTACTTTCGTAATATAAAACAAGAATGAACAGTCGGGTTTAAATTGTGATACATTATTGGACCGAGTCTGCTGTTACCGACAGTCAGCAACTTTTCGGGCCTCAAACTCCAAAAAGTTCAATATACAACTATCAAGTCGTGGTAAAATAGCTCATATAAACATTCAAAGCTTAAACATAGCAAATCGATTCCTGGTTCCGTAGTGATGATGGCAAGTTCATTAAAATAAGTATTATGCATTACCGAACATTTCAGAAAAGAACCTAATTTAAGATATCATATTTCTGGATATATCATATTTATGGATTTTAGGGAAAACTACTGATAAAATTAGTTTTGGTTATTTTATGGGAAGAAAGAAACTCAATGAGAAAGTATTAAAAAAAACATTTCGATCGGTACTTTCTTGATTTCTCCATGACAACTCTACCGGTTTTCTTTCATGTACAAAAGTAAATTAATTTTCAAAACTCAATAACTCATATTCTATTTGTACTTTTTCATATTTGTATTGATATCTTATTTTCGAACTTTGCAAATTTCATTTTTTTAATATGTTAGTCAAAAGGAACGGAAATGACTATCTTTGATCCATTACTTCCCTACAAAAACCAACTTTTGGTAGTCGTCATCTAGTGAGATGCTTTTTAGTGGTTTATTTTTATTTTTAAAATACTTCCTTATTCATTCGATCATTTTTAAACTGTAAGACTACAAAAATCCAAATTAAATCATATAAACTAGACGCGATCAAAACACGAAAAGTTTTGCTAGATACGAACGATAGCGAGTGATTCAGAATACTATCAGAATAGTGTAGTGCCAAGTAACGATATAGGACACCTACTCGTACATAGGCGCTCTGTCTGCAGTAAGTTACCAGATTAGGGGATTCTCCGCAAATTTTTGGTTTTTAAGGTTTTAAGTAGCTTTAAAGATCTTTTGGAAAGAAAGAACTTTCTGAAACTAAGGCAAGGAGACGCGATCCAAACATGAACATTTTGCTAGACACGAATGAAAGAGATAGGGAACATTATTACAATGAAGGCTAATGAGTTTGAAATAGCAGTGTAGCATGAGGACTTCAAAATGACAAATATCTGAACTACAATGACGTTTTATTATTAGCCACAAATTTTATTTTGGTAACGTAACATAATACAACCTCAAAGGGCGCGAAGAAATAAAAAATAGTATTCTCCCTATCAGAATCTTCAGCATACCTCTTGTTAGAACAAGATAAACATACTCGCATAGCTTTTCGTGTAAAATACTGCATCCTCATAGAACACGATGCACGCAAAAATGGCCGCGTTCAATAACGTTTTATTATTTTTATTAAAATCATAAAGAGTAAGTACTGTACTTACAAATTAAATTATATGTGTTTTGCATTTCTCTCGTCAATGTGTAATTTATGCATTGTTTAAATACACAGAAAAGCATTTTTTCTATAACTTTTCAACGAAAATTACGAGTGAAAATGACATTAGCCACAACGCTTGCTAAAAATTGACTTAAATGAAACTCTGGCAATTGCCTTGCTTCCTTGTTGTCAATGTTGTGCGCAGAAAACCCATCTTAACTTTGTGAACAACACGCATTTATTTTCAAATAACGCACTTTGCGCTTATTTTGGGGTACTTGAGATTCATTATATCTATTATGGATTACGAGTCAATAATTGCCAGTGCTTTAAAAATGGAGCGAAGAAAAAGAGGAGAGGAAGGCTGGTCTCTCTTTTTTCTGCGACCCTGCGCGAGCTCCACGTGTTATGTGGGACTACCCCTGCGAGCCAACCCCCAGAGTGGGGGCAGGTCAAAAAGCAGGGGCCTCCCCACTAAAATTCAGCGATAACTGTTCCTAACGGGACCTCTTCCGGCGCATGCCGTCCCCGCTCGACCCGCTCCTTTTACAGGGCGGGTCCCATCTCGGATTAGGGGAAGGGCTCAGGAACATTCGAGTCCAAAGAACATCATAGAAACCATGTGAAAAAAGTTTTTTCGAAAACCTCAAACCATGAAGATTCTATGTCAATTCAAGGAACCTATTACAATAATAATGATAATAATAAACCCCGGCCGTCTGGCCTCCTCTGCCGAGGGGAGTCCTCCCCCCCCCCCCTCGAATCGTCGAGGGGTCGGGAAGAGTAAATTTTTGTTCTACATATTAATAATTTATTTCAGGTAGTACCCATATTGTTAGTAACAATTCTCTTAAAAATAATGTTAGTAAATACAAAATTATATTTCTATCACACATTCCAATAAAATAAAATTAAACTATATCAAATTAAACAATAAAACGGCAATTCATACTTTAACCCGTAATATTGAAATTCACAACATCAAACATTTTACTACGTTAAAATAATATACCAGACGGGTGACGTGCCTGCTTTGGAAATGCGCATCTTATCTTAACCTGTCCGGCCACGTGTACCACCAGTGGAGAACATACTTACTACGACGCGGAGCGTTTGCTACTTTAATTGCATTAATCCTTTCGAGAACGACCTCTCACATTCAATATCTCCGTGAACAATTTTATGTCTGTCTCTTGTGCTTTATGTGGCTATAGTAATTGTGTCTTATGCTTGTGCGTAAAATTCTCTTTTTGTGTATTGTATCGTGTATATGTTAATTATTAGGCGTGAAAAATAAACGCTAGGAACTGTAAGTTGTTGCATCATTATTTCAACAGAACGCTTATATACGTGCACGAAATAAAACCAAAGTAATTTATTAGTAGTTATTTCATACAAAATACTTAGCCTTTTGTTTAATTAATGGAACGAACCAACATATCAGCAATCGCTAGAATAAATTTCATTGCTATGTTGCGAATTTGAAAAGCTTGATCTGCATCTCCTTCAATTTTTAGATTATTTTTGTGATTACCCTTTCGATATTTTTCCATAGACTTTGAAAATAAATAATTCCTTGCTTGCGAAAGCGAAACTATTGCATATGTGAAATATCTGCATCTGTGTAACGACGTTGCTTGAAAGACTCATCAGTCCTGTTTAGAATATTTTTCAGTATAGCATTGTAAATGAAAAATTGATCAAAGCAATTATACAACAAGGTAATTAACTACTATGTTTATTATGCTCTGCCAACAGATTGGTTGAAAACCAATCTATCACGATTTTGTCAAAGCACTGGCCAAAACATGATGCTTTATTGGTTGTTTTAAATCTCAATCAGTAATAATCTGATTCCGATAATGAATCAATCAATATCGAAACTTGTGTGCCGAGAATTCGAGATTCATAACACAATGTTTCACCGTTTTACAATCATGCGGGATAGATTATATTATAACGTTACTTATTTTACTGTGACATATTTATCTATTTATTTAAGGGTGCAGCCATCATAAATGTCATTAAATTTAAAATCGAAATAATTTATTTATTTATAAGGACAGGCAACAATGAGTAAAAATTACATACACTTAAATTAAGCTTACGAATTACTAAGTTATGTATGAGCGTTCTATCAATTATAGGAAGTCACAACATGTACTGAAGTCTTTATAAGGTTAATTTAATTTTGAAAAATTAATTATTAGTGAAACTAATTGTATATTCATAATCTTATTCATCTCACTCGGTCCGTGATATGGTAGTTAAGCAACTTTTGCGATGGCCAGTCACAAGATGGGGAACAAAACAATATCATCTCGAAGTACTCCGTGCTTCAGAAGACACGTCAAGCCGTCGGTCTCGGCCAGTCTCGGCTGGATCTGCAGTAGTTAATATCTACGAATCTGCACTGGGTCCGCGTGGTAGGTCAAATACGGCTCATTCTCCCTATTCGATTGCATCCATAGGGACGGCCTGAGCCCCCTCCCCCCCAGCATTGGGGACATGATGATATTCTTTACCACAGGAATGAAGAAACTTTGACTCGTAGGTACTGGTTTAGACTTGTAATTTTCGGAAAGCGTATTTATAACCATAGATAAATTCCGTGCGCCGTCCGGGGTTTTGTTACATTCGTCTGTGCCTACTCCGCAAGGTCTTAGCGAAGATATATGTAGAAAAAATATAAAGGTTGGTTTGTTACTGATACGGCTGCTGAAATCAGTTCATTTTTTTTGGCTCGAACATCAATCGAATTACTGGAAAAACGAAACGTAGGTAATCTGATTTTTGTTCCAGGAATTACATGCTCACTTAAATGGCTCTTTGAGTAAATCTACAATGTTACATTTGAAAAGATACTTTGCAGACTCTGGCTTTGAAGATAAAAGTAACATTTTTTTTGATGAATTTCAAATTGGTGCTGGAGATTCTAGAAATTTATCCGAGTATGTAATGTCTGGTAGAAGCTATTACATTAACACGTGAATAAGAAAAAAAATCTCATTTCTATTAACTTTTAGCTGTTTTCAAGTATTTAGCATTGCTCATTCTCTAACAAGCACACCGGAAGCACTAGAAATGGCAACGCAGATGACACTTGAAGAATTTAACGATGATGGGTGTTGTTATGTTGAATTGAGAAGCACTCCGCGTGATACTCCATATATGACTAAACATCAGTATATTGATACTATTGTTAAATCTATGCAGTAAGTGAATTTGTTACTGCTATTTTTCTGTTAGGTAATTAATGAAATAACTTACACTACAGTATTACCTACTTTATTTTCAGAAAAATAAATGCGCGTTTATCAATTATATCTCGTTTTGTAGTATCTGTAAATCGGAGTCATCATGTTTCGGAAGCTGAAGCAATAACAAATTTAGCTATCGAATACAACAAAAAGTATCCTGATATTGTTGTTGGTTTAGAACTTAGCGGTGAACCAACAATAGGGAGATTTGAAGACTTCGTACCTTCTTTCGTAAGAGCTAAGGAGTGTGGGTTGAAGGTAATTATTTTTGTATTACATTTTATCATTATATTGTTAATATTATGAAATTGCGTTTATTTGGTTAGGTAAGGTGGCATCATAGGTTCTAGGGAAGGGGAGTTCCCTTCGCTACGCGGTTGCGGCGCTGTGTGGATTCCGGATTGACACATATACATACATACTACACACACACATTTCACACGCTATATTTACAAATTCAACCACACATACACCTACACACACACACACACAGTTACATGCCGTACTTGTTTAGGGTGATGCAGTGGGTACATACCTCTTGGCTGGTGCGGCGCCTGGACCTCGATAGCGGGACGGCGCGACGAGAGGGGTTGTGTCCCGATGACAGGCCTGACTTGCCCTGCCCTGCTATTCGGAGTTGTGGAGAGGCGTAATAGGGCTAGACACCAGAGAGCGCATCGGCCCAGGTGACGGGGATCCACGTTAAGGGTTATGCCTGTGTGGGTCCTCCCAACTGGACAGGCAAGGACTGAAAAGGCATAATTGCGCATTTCCAGTCTTTAGTCGGGGGCAAATTTAAAAAATAATAAATTTTTGTTAGTGAACACTAAAGGGGAGTGGTTACATTATCTTTGATAAGCATGGAAATGTACCAAAATTAGCGTCTTTGTTTGATCTGTTTGCCAAAATAATATTTAATTTGTTTAATTATTTTTATTTGTATTAAAGCTAATAAATTCTATACTGATATGAAACAATATATAGTTACTACATTAAAAAAGATAATGTTTTGTTTTAATGTGCGCTTTCCACTGTGCACTGTTGATAAAAATTGAAAATTTTATATAAATTTCCAACCAGACGTGGTACTAATATTGCGCCCGAAAATGAGGTAGATAGAGACATAGGATAGCAAATTATGCGGTAAAATATGTTTTCAACTCATATACTCAACCATTACTCGCAAACTAATTGTAATTGTAAAAGTGCTGCATACTTCGCTCGGCTATAAAGTAAATAACATATTTATCAGTTTTTTCTGTAAAAAAGATTAACTACAACGAAGAAAAAATATGAAATTCGGCATAACTTTGCGAATTTTTTCTCTATTTAAAAAATGATTTTTTGGCTATAATAAGATCCTTGGCTAAATTATAACACGTTATTTCTTACAGTCTTAATTATTACCAGACTACGACGAAGCGAAAAAAGTTATGATTTAGGCTAATTTGCATGTATTTAAGATATATATATTCTCTTATATCTCTTCTATTCTCTTATAACTTCGAAACTACTCATTGTAACTAGACAAATGAGGTATTTATTTATTTTATTTTATTTATTTATTCATTTTGGGAAACAACAGCATTGAGTTACACATGAATATACATAATTCAATTAAGTAGTACAGAAGCCTAGACAGTTTCCACTGCTAAACACGTGCAATGCTATGTCGAACAAACCCTATCATTTCATTAGAAGCGTCTTAGTTGTCCGCGTGCTATAGGCTATGTGTCGTTACATTAAATTGGCATCAGTGCCCTCTAGAGAGCATGATGTAAGTAACTAATCAAAATATATAATATATCTATCAGTCCATGTAGGGTATCAAATGAATCAAAGGGCTCAATCAGCACATTTCAAATATATATACATATTGATAGTTTCTACTGGCGTTTTTTTTTTAAGTACACTATAAAATTAATTAAATAAAATAAAAAGTGTTCAAAAACTGAAACTCAACTACAGCTAAATAACGCAATAATAGCGATGACATGACAGAGTAGTCGTATGCGACAACAGTTTATGACCAGTGGCATACGACTACGCTGTCCTTTGGTCATCTCTATAATTTAAATTAATTTCTTAATTCAAACTTTACAGCGTGATTCACCTGTACTCGGGTTTTAGTTTTCAAACTTATTCTTTTAGTTGAATGATGAGTGATATTAGCTGCGCGAGCTTTACTATGAGCTATTAAGTACTGTTATGCCTTTCGGGTATTATTTTTTTAACTGACAAGTTATGTTTGGGATATTTTATTTCAAACATTTTGGGGTACTCATTGTATACTGTTATCACTATTATCATTCATGTAAATAAAAACTTGGCAATTAATATACACTCTGCTCATGCACACATGAATCTCAAGCAGGTTCACTTTTTCGTTGCGCTTTGTAGGAGACACGGAATCTGGATATTATTTAATTTAAGAATATATCATAATAATTTAACAATAAATCAAAACAATCAAGCTCAAAATAATTAACCTTTATATACTTAATATGTATTTAAATATCGCATTGTCTGTATGTATTACTATTACGTATGTAGCTTACTTTACTGTCCAAAATGAATAAAAGGATTTTCCATTTTGATGTATGTATGTACGTACACATATAATGTAGACAAATACGAAATTATCAATATTTTCAACATATTGAAAATTTTATTGGACTGGCTTTGATTAAAACAATAAGGGAATTCACAGTCGCCATCTCTAACAACCTGGGTTCGATTATTTTACATGTATAATTAAAACAACCATGGTCATATATATTTTTAATTTTAGATTTCTTTACATTGTGGTGAGATTTGTAATTCCGAAGAGGTTATATCAATGTTGAATTTTAAGCCTGATAGAATTGGTCATGGAACTTGCATTCATCCAAGTCATGGAGGCACGGAGGATACATGGGCTACCCTATGTAAAATAAAAACACCTGTTGGTGAGTTGTGAAAATTGCATTAATACGAATTGCGATAAATGCATTAGACTCCAATTAGTAGGATATGCAGCATCCGATACCTTTTGGGTCGCAACCGAGAATGTTAATAACGTATTTGGACTACAGCCTTGCGATTCTGTAACAATCCAGACCCGAATTCGAATTCACTCATGTGTCCGAATTCTAGTCATTTAGTAAAGAAATCCTATTGATTCCATTTTTTGTATAAAAATACTAAACAAAATTGACTGATTAAACGTGTCATAGATATTTTAATCCTATATCATTTCGAAACTCACTTCACTTATTTCACGAAACATTATTACCAATTCAAGTTTGAGTGGATGCCGCTTTTTGAAGTGAATCGGGTTTGAAGTTTTACAGAATCGCAGGGCAGGAAAAATTGTAATCAGTGCGCAAATTATATTGTTGTGCTAACTGTAAATCATTAACACATTATTTTCTCGTTTTTGACCTAATGGTATTGAAGCTAAATAATAAAAAAGATGTTTAAATACGTTGCTGTTTAAATCCTTGCTTTACGTATGTACTTTGATAGAGTTTTTGTCAATATATTAGGTTGGAGAAAAAGTCTTTTCGCATATACAATGCGTAAACGTGTAATAAAATCTTTCTGGCTATACCATTTGTATGTGGCTGGTTGCGGTATCATTGATAAGTTTAAGTTTTGTAGAAAACTAGCTTTTACCCGCAACTTCGTCCGCGTGGTAAAGTTCGTCCGCATAACTTTACATTTCTAACGAAGATTTATTTATTCGTTCCATTAGGTACTGATAGGTCCCAACTAATACATTTACATCCTCCATCTTCCCTTATTTTATCCCCATGGGGATTAAATTTATCAAAATCCGATTTAAGCGGACGTATATTATAGTAGCTCCAATCCTTAATTTCAGTCAGTCGAAAATCTAAGAAGATTTATACAATTTTTCATACCCAATTTATCCCCTTGGGGCAGAATTGATCAAAATCCTTTTTTAGGGGATGCCTACGTCATAGTAGCTTTATGAATGCAAAGTCTCAGCCCTATGTTTAAAATTGACAAAGTTTCATACAAACTTACATTCCCTATTTTATCCCCTTGGGGGTAGAATTGATAAAAAGCCTTTCTTAGCAGATGCCTACGTTATAACATCTACCTTCATGCCAAATTTCAGCGCGATACAGCCAAGACTGTCGGTGGTCGGTAGTTGAAGAACTAGGGAAGGAACACAAAATAGTTTTGGCGCATTTCAAAAAACCTGTGTAAACATAAAAGTTGGATACTTGGGTACCTCACGAGCTCACTGAAAAAAAGCTCATGAAAAGTGGATCACGTAAGACAAGAACGTGCGAAAAAAGATTCTGAACTCAATGGCAAGAAGTAGAGATAAAGCGGGTAGATTTAATCAATAGAAGGGGTGTGGTTTTTCATCATGATACCGCTAGACCTCACACATCTTTTGCCACTGAGCAAAAATTGAGAGTTTTGCTGGGAGGTGTTAATGCATCCGCCGTATAATCCTGATCTTGCACCTTCAGATTTCCCCTTTCGGTCTCTTCAGAATTCATTAGACAGTGTCAGGTTAACATCACGCGAGAACTGCCAAAACCACTTGTCGTGGTTTTTTTATGAGTAGCCCCAAAATTTCTTTAGCAATAGGATCTTTTCCCTACCTACAAGATGGTAAAAAGTTACCGAACAAAATGGCACTTACATGCTTTAGTTAAACGTATATATACTTTATTAAAAATGTTTTGAATATTCATATAAAATGCGAATAAACATTTTCCCCAACCTATTACTTTCAGTTTGTTAACTAATATTAAAATATGCATGACAATGTTCATAAATTAAATTCCTAACTAGCACTGAGTCAGTGATTCCCGAGAAATTATTTACCATATAGATGTTTACTCACAGCTGTTACCACAGGCAATGAAATTATCATCACAAAAGAGTTGGAGTCTAATATATAATAAAATTAACCCGTCGTAGTAGTACTAGATCTTCTTGTATTTCTTTGTCAACATTTTAGATAAATACAGACTTAGTTTTTATGACACATGCACTTTTTCACAGAAATATGTCTAACAAGCAATGTCAATACAAAGTCAACACCGAAGTATGCATCTCATCACTTTAAAGAGTTTTATAATGCTGAAATACCAGTATTAATATGCGTAAGTGTTTATCCCTATTTTTAACCAACTTCAAAATCTCTTTATAATATGAATATGGAATTATTGGAAAAAAATATGTCGAGCAAATAAACAATTTTTTTCTAAGACTTTCACTATTTAAATTATATCAAGATCTATATCTAAACTAATATTATAAAGAGGAAAGATCTCCGTAACTAATGGACCGATTTTAAAAATTCTTCTACTTTCGGAAAGCTACATCATATGCGGAAAGGATTGCAAACCGGATACTTCGCAATTCGAAAATAACCGAAAAAACGGAATTACAGAACCTTTTAAAAACCGTTTTTTGAACTAAAATTCGGATTTGAGTTAAAACTAAAATAAATAAAATAAACCGAGCTGCGAGTTTCCACGCTGACACACGAGTGGTCCACTTTATGAAAATTATGATTCTTCACCATTCAGTTTTCAAAAAAGCGTCAAATTTATCTTTTTTTAAATTTCTGATTATCTATAATTGCCGTTGGCGGACTCTTTACTTTTTTACTTAAGTATATTATTTTTTATTTTATATATTTCAATTTATTTTAATCACACTAAACTATTTTGACTAGTTCAACTTAAAAATGTTGATGTCTAACATTTACCCGTGTATAAATAGTAAAGCTTTTCAAGTGATAAAATAAACCTGGCACTGATATATAATAAAGAATGCTATGCATAGATTTAAGGTGACTTCATTGCCCTTAGGCCTTTTTGTTTGCCACGCAATCGTTCTCTTTGCTTCAAAAGAAGGCCACATCCAATGACATGAAATATGTGTGACTCATATTAAAAACATATTTTATTTTCTAATGTTTCAGACCGATGATAAAGGCGTGTTTGAGACTTCTTTGTCTCAAGAATATGGAATTTGCGCCGAAACATTTGATTTGGATCGAACCAAACTGGCGCGACTAGCTTTGAATGCATGTCAGCATATATTCGCCGAGGATAACGTAAAAAGAAAACTAATGACTCAAATACTTAATTTTATAGACCATCATTGTTAAATTGAATTCAAACAGTTAAGAAATTGTAATAATTATATTATTGACTTATTGAATATTGGCCTGACCTTTGATGTATTACTTTTCATCAATTTAGCTAACTAGACAGTATTCGATGTTCTACGATAACTACTTCAACATCGAGCCAATCCACCCAGCGTACCTTGCTGGGCCCGCGTAAAGATTTGGGTTTATGCTCTATTTTCTTCTCTTGTCGTATGCGCCACGCACACAGCCTTAGTAATATATAAAAAATAAGGTCACCCATCCAATTCGCAGATCAATTACGCTAACAACTTGAACATCGAGCCGCATCCGCATTCCGCACTGGACCTGAGTGAAGGTCCTAATGCGGATTGGTGGCGTTAAAGCACAGATATTCTTAATGGATGAATTAAACCAATCCGCCCAGCGTTTCTAACTGGGCTCGCGTGTATGACCCGATGCTGGTTGGTGTTACTAAAGCACATTTTCATTTTGAACTTTGAAATACCAGACTGGATGTTGGATCCGTTTTCATATGTCAACACAGCAGTGGTGTTTCGCGCTGTGGTTCTTGAGAATTATGAGGAAAACAATATTTTTAACACAAACACTTTATTCTAGAACATAATAATTGCAGAGTATATATAAATGGCGTCTTTCTGTGATATTACAAACAACAACTAAATACAATATTAATCTATGAACTAAACGGCTTCTACGGTGTTACAGATCATAGACAATGTGTTGCCAGCAACAAGTGGCACCTCAGCTGGAAGAAAAACGTATAGAATGAAGTAGTATTTAAAAAAATAAAATTAGTTCTTGAAATCAAACTAGATGTCACTAGCGATTTTCGGATAATTGTCTATGATATTCATTCTAATTTTGTTTCTAATACAATAAAAGTAAATTGTGTCGAAGATTAATTAATATGACATCGTTTCGTTGTTCCTATAATATCGAACTTTCAAATTAATTTTAATTTATTTGAATCGTAAGTTAAAGTTATTTATTATGTACGTGTAAAGGAACAATGTTTGGTTTATTCAGAGTTTATACTCCGTTTTATTTAAAGTGGCCATAGACATAAAAGAAGACATTATAAACTAGTCAGGGACAGAGGTGACAGTCCTGTGGACAGGATCACAGAACACAGGAACACAGCACAGTGACTTATAGCTGTGCTTATAGCTTATTGGTCTGTGACAGTGACCAGTGACAGATGATGAGATTGTAGCAGTGTTTTTTTTTTTGCGTCTGCGAATAGTTGTTATTTTTTTAGTAAAATAACTCCAATCGGGGGAGTGAATTCAAGCTTCTTGTGGAATTTATTCATAGGTGTTAATTTAGAGAGTTTTGGATTATAGAAAATGGCTCATTATAAAGGAGCTGCCTCTGAGGCTGGGAGAGCTATGCATCTAATGAAGAAGCGTGAGAAAGCACAACAAGAGATAGAACTACGTAAGAAGAAAATAGAGGAGGATTTGAAAATAGAAAATATAGAAAATAAATTTGCCACCCACTATGATGCAGTAGAACAACAGCTTAAAAGTTCCACTATTGGCCTTGTTACATTGGACGAAATGAAAGCTAAACAAGAACATATAGTACGAGAACGAGAGAAAAAGTTAGCTCAAAAAAAAGCTGAAAAAGAAAAGGAGCGACAAAAAGAAATTGAAGCTAAACAGGCCCAGAAAAATAAACAAAAACGTCAGGTTGGCATTAAAATGTTAATCATAAAATTCATCAATATATACTTGTTATTTATAAAATATATATTTTTAATATTTACTTTTACATAATACTAAATAATCCTGGCCATGCATTCACTAAAATCAGTCCACTATGTTTTCCAATTATTTCTTTAAATAACACTAATGTTATAATTCAGAAAACTAAATATATGTAGTAGAAATGAAACATGTGTACCCTAAGTGAAATAAATGTCTCTATTGTGTAGATTCAGGCACTGTCATTCAGTTTGAATGAAGATGAAGAATCAGGTGATGAAGAGCCTGAACAAAATTGGAAAGAAAAACCTGAAGAACCGGTAAATATATGTTTTTTATTATTCATTGAAAACATTGCAATGATGTTTAATATAATATACATAATTAGTAGTGTGAATCAAGATGCTGATCGGCTTCCATGCTAGTTAACGTAACCCATGTAAGTAGTTTAATATTCTAAGTGTATGTATTTATTTTTTGTTGCAGGTTTTGAAGAAGATAAAAAAGAATCCAGATGTTGATACCTCATTTTTACCAGACAGAGAAAGAGAAGAAGCCGACTTAAAATTACGGGAAGAACTTAGATTAGAGTGGGTCATGACACAAGCAAGCCTGAAAGATGAACCAATTACTGTCACATTTAGTTACTGGGATGGATCTGGACACAGAAGAAATGTTACTTTAAAGAAAGGTATTTCGAGTTCAAAATGGCAGCAGGCACCACATTCTTGCATTATACATACTTTGTTTCATATTATGTATACATAGGGGCCATCCATTAATCACGTGAAGCTTGAAAAGATTTGTCAAAATTCACCAAATATCACAAAGATGGAGGGAGGATGTAGTAATATATCACATGTATTTATTTTTTCCTCAAACATGCGATTACCAAACTGAAAAATGGCATCCAAAATTAAGATTTTTTTTTTGTAGGTGCTAAAAATACACGTGATTTAGGTGGATGGGGGAGGGAGGGTTAAAAATGCTGAAAAAAAGATCACGTGATTAATTGACATCACCATAGTATTTTGAATAATAGTTAAAACAAAATGCTTACTTTGACTTTCATCATATAAACTGATTGTCTTGACATATTGTCTGTAGCAGAGTGGTTTGCGCATTGGTTTCAAGGTGTCGCCATCTCTGAAGCCCTGAATTTAATGTAGAAAATGTTTTTTTTTTTATATTGCCTCAGGTCTGCGTGTTGGTACATTGGTTGGGTATGGGGGTTTTAGCTACTCATCATTATGTGAGGTTGTCTAATATTATTATTTATTAAATACAATCACAAACTCTTATTTATTTCAGTAACTGCTCACCCTGACCTTATATTGACCCTGAAAATTGTGTAAGCTTAACTCATTTCATTTTACATTTTTTATTGCTTAGGAAATTCAATTTACCAATTCCTCCAGAGATGTCTTGATACACTAAGGCCTGAATTCAGCGAGCTGAAAACTGTTTCTGCAGATCAGCTCATGTATGTCAAGGAGGATCTAATATTACCACATCATTATACATTCTACGACTTCATTGTCACCAAAGTAAGTAGGTAGTTTTTATCCTTTCTATGGTGGTGGTAATTTCTTGGATTTACTGAATATACATAATTTTCTAGGCTCGTGGAAAGAGTGGTCCTTTATTCCAATTTGATGCATCAGATGATGTGAGATTGGTTAATGATGCAACTCAAGAAAAACAAGATTCACATGCTGGCAAAGTCCTTCTGAGGTGAGAAAAATAATAACCTATGGGTATAAGTATAATAAAAAAAAAACATAGCATGGGTATGGTGACGTTTGGGATTTGAATCTTTTAGTGATGTAGTAAAAAAAATCTACTAAAATTTGACAGTATAGAGTTCATTTCTAAGAGATAATTGATTTTGAGATCAATGTTAAAAACAGTGTTTCATGAAAATATTTATTCCTCAAGAGAATGAACCAGAGAGAGAGACTTGAGTGTCTATTATACTATTTTAATAACCCTATTTATTTAATCAAAATAAACATATCCTTATACCCTAATCCTTATTTTTACGATTTTTCTAAAAGAAATCTGATTGCATACAAGACATTCACACTTGTATTGAATTAATTAAAAATGGTCAATTAAATTGATTTTATTGATTCAATCCTTAAAAAAATATTACAGATTACGTTTAAGTATTGGTGTTTTAAACTGAGTGAGTAAGATTTCAGTAATTATGGATATTAAAAACAATGATATTACAATAAAAAAAAGGTAAATAAGTCATGTCACTACTAATACGATGTCAAAAATTGTTCCCAGCATACACGCACGCATATGGCACGATACTCTCCAATTATTCATATACTATAATTGAACATGTCACAGACCAGACGTATTTAATAAGACTTCGATCAACAGTTCAACTTAAAAATGTTGATGTCTAACATTACTCTATTATTTCTCCTTAACGTCAGTGTATATGTTATTTGACCTTAGAGTAATTTTAACTCCGGAGTTAGGTTTCGATGCTCCGAATTCAAACTCCGAAATATCAGTCTCATATAGATTTTAAAATAAATGTAAGGTAGAGCATAGGCACTAATCACGAATTGTTCATCTGTTACTTACATAATCTTTGATAAATCTCTTTCACAGTATGTAAATAAAATTTGTAACTGGAATGTCTATCTTTTTATGTCAAAATATTTATTCTTCTGATTAAAAAGGGAAATCAATTAAAAATGTATACTTACGAATGAAATGTGCCCTCTTGATCTTTAGTCTACTTACTAATGTAGTTTCTACAGTTTCGCATGACACAGGTGTCATTTTAAAGATGAATATGATACATAAACGCACACAATAAACGCTTTCGCCAGACTGTGTTAAGGTATGCTAATTAGAAGTTTTAAGGTGACACTTTTTGAATGGAAGTAACGTATCTGCCTTTTTTTCTGTAATATCAGGTTAAAATGTATTTATTTTACAAATTACATGGTTGGTTTCATTACCAAACGTCACAATACCCATCCTATGCGAAAAGGACTATATGGATAAAGTGATAAACATTTTATTTCCAGGTCTTGGTATGAAAGGAACAAACATATTTTTCCAGCATCAAGATGGGAACCATATGACCCCACTAAAACATATTCCAAATATACCATCAAAGGAAAATAGTTAACATTTCCATTTACCAATAACAAACTATAAATAAATTAATAAAATAGGTATTTATAAATGCATTTTAATTTAAAAACAAGGTACCCAATAAAGGCCATTATATTTTAACAATTTAAAAACAATTCTAATTGTTGCCATCTCCTGTTTTCTAACTTAGCTAAAAACTGTTTTTTTTCCTCACTACTTGAATCCTCATATTTACTTGGAGGAGCATGTCTCTGGAAATGTATAATGGCAGCTAACAAGTTCCATATGGAGAATTCGGGCCATAGAACATCTGTGAAATACAGGACACTGTTTGTTACCTGAAAGCAATTAAAAAATTTCAAGTTGAGAATGATTATAGGTTTTACTTTAAACATCCAAAGAAAATAAATTTGGAGTTGTGGTTACCAATGAAATTCTAAGTCCAACTAATAACATTTTCTAATCATGTTTTCCTTATAAAGAATTATTCATCTGACTTATTGTCTTTTTAATGATAGGATAATGCTCCAATAATCTCAATTATCTAATTTGGATTTGTAAAAACAAAAGAGTGATTGTGTGGAGATCTGAATAAATGAGTACAGTAAGTTCCAACTAATATGGCACATAGTTTTGTGCAGAGCAGACCTACTAACTTGATGATAATGGCACAAAAGCTTAATATTTATAAGTCTTGTAATATAAAAGGCTTAATATATAAAAGCATCAATAAGGCAAACAGTACAATGCATTATGTGTCAGTCTCACTCACACTACTGGGGCCAGGCACACATGTCTCTTTGTGGGGATTTGGCTGATTAGATTTTCCATATTTCACTATTTATGACTTTTTGAGCGACTTTTTTTTTATATTTACAATATAGGTTAATGCTTGACTACGATCCCACCAGGTGGTAAGTGGTGATGAAGAAATACAGATGCTGGCAGTTTGTTCCAGTCCTTGGCGGTACGGATTATGAATGATGAATCAAATAGCGCCGTTCTTACCGGATGGATGTTGACGACGACAGGATGGATACCGGCCGTGCGTCGAGACGTTCGATGGTAGAACGGGGAGGGGGGAATTAGATAGTGCAATTCCAGCGCACACTCTCCAAAATGTATCCCGTAGAATACCGAGAGGCTAGCAACTCTGTGTCTGTGCTGAAGGCTATTGCAGATTGGTTTTAACCAATTTCGGGTCGCCAATAAGCCTTCTCGCACGCCTCCATTGAATCCAATGCCGAAAGGTGGCATTTTGCGGCAGCAGTACTCCACACACGACCGAACCTGCGCTTTGTACAACATCAAAAGCTGTTCTGGTGTGAGGTACCGCCGGACCTTCGCTAGGATACCTAGCTTTTTAGCTGACGTTTTAGCTTTGGACTCAATGAACCGCCCAAAGTTAAGGATAGAGGATATCTCTACTCCCAATAAAGGAAGGCGGTCGGTGTATTCTAAGGAGACATCACGGAAAGTAGGAGCCAAGGTGAATGGGCTCTGTTTGGCAGTGAACAGACACGCTTGTGTTTTAGTGGCATTGAATTTCACAAGGTTGGCATCGCCCCATTCGGAGACAACCTGAAGTGTGAGATTCATATGCACTACCATGGCCTCTCTCTCAAGACTGTATTTGGTCTTTACTGGCCCGGCCATTAGGCAGGTTGTCTACTGTTGTACTGATACTACAATGGATTAGGAGATGATGTGGCTCTGGCCAGGAGATTCTCAGGACTAAAATCTATAGCCTGGAATGATAATTTCAATTACTCTCTAAAGATGGTTATATGAGCACAAGCAACACTCCATGAATATTGGACCAACCTCAGACTGCAGATTAGCCTTTGGGTTTATAAACACTAAGGTAGACCCACAGTTGCAAATAAGTTATATGAACTACCTAAACAGTCACTAAAATGTTTAACTTAAAATAGACACCTGGTATGGAATTGCAGAAACAATTCACTGGTGACAAGAACTATGTAGTTTTTTGTATGGCTATTTCACTTAGAAAACCCACTGAAATTGTTCAGTATCACTTGCATCAAGAGACAAGAGACATAATCTATAGTCAACAGAGGAGAATTAGAACTAATAATAATAGTATCCTAATTATTAAAAGTTCTTACTTTATTAAAATTCTTGTTTATTTGTTTAAAATATTTACTGAAGTAATTATTTTTAATTAACTACAAACATTGGTATATGATTGCCAGATTTTAATAAAATCAAAATTCTACCTGCCAAAGCATGAAGTCCGACAACCTTACTTCTCCTGATGTTCTGACGAGCAATTCGGGTTCACCAAGATCTAATGATTGTGATATGAGTTCTTCATCAATGTCTTCAACTATTAATTCTTTATTATTAACACCATCTACTAAGTATGATGCAGCTCGACTGATTTCATCTCTTCCTGAAATAACATAATTGATCTTCACTACATAATTATTGACTGTCATTATATGAGTAAATCAATATTATTCAGTACCTGTATAAGCATAGGCTATATTAAGTTTTAATTTATTATTATGCCGAGTAGCTAACATGGCATGTGAAACCATTTTTCGTAAGTCTACTGGTAAAAGTGACAAACGCCCTGATACATATAGCCGAACGCCCCATTCATTGATTACATCTCTGAAACATAATAGTATCTATTTGTAAGTTACTGTAATGGTTTATTTACAATTTATTATTATTCTAATATCTGTACACACATTTCATTAAGTAGTTTCTGGAATTTGTCTCGAGCCAAATCCATAAGAGCATCAACTTCTTCTGCACTTCTTTTAAAATTTTCTATACTGAAAGCATATACTGTTACTTCTGGAACACCAAGGTCAAGACACCACTGTAACAAAAAAAAAATCGTAAGTGTCAGGTCTTTATAAATCATGAGTGGTTTATTGTTTTGAAAGTTCCAATTTGTCATCATTTATTGACCTTCAGTGTTTCAGACAATTTCTCAAACCCCTTAGAATGCCCAACTGCAGTATCCTCATGGTGTTTTTTTGCATAACGCCGGTTTCCATCCATAATAAAAGCTATATGTTGAGGTATTCGACCGGTTTTAATAACTTTAATACAAAATAGTTGAAAAAAGGACACGGCATCTTCTTTTATCCACGACATCTTCACTCCAAGAAACTTAAGAGAGTCTGGTCTTCACCACAAAGCACAGAACAAATTAATTAGAACAATCCGTTTCGGAGTGGCAATGGCAGGCAACTCAACTGTATATTATTATCTTTCGATATAATCACAGACTTAATAGGTAATTAGGTATAATGGAAAATTAAATCTTCTTCTTCTTTTTTAATTCATTGGCCTATTTGCGTTTACACAATTCCGCTAATATCACGTTTGTGGTCTTCACACGTAAAGAAAAAATAATAAAATATGTCAATTCTGAATCAAATAAAAAAGCTTGAGCGCGTCTATCTGATACATTGTTAAAGATAATACAAATAGAATGTATATAGAAAACAAAGATATTATTAAATTAAGACTATTATTGATTGCAAGGAATTTAGATAAAATTAGTAAAGTTGTTTCGTTTTGAAGGGAAAGTTCTGTCCATGGGGCAGGCCACTATTTTTTTTATGGTCTTTTTCCGTTACACACAGAAATTCTGCCAACATACCGTAGTGAGAGAGACAAGAGACTCGAGAGACTGAACGGCAGTGTTCCAACTGCTACCGAAGGCCTGTTGCTAAGAATTTTACTTAAGTTGCTAGATTGAGTAATTTGTTCGACTTGAAAAGTAGCTAGAAATAGCTAAATTTTTTCGTGAAATTAAATACCGTTTTACATGATTACTAGAAATCACACGGCGATATTTTATTAAAGACTTTGATATTTATTGCATTTAAAATGCAAATAACAAAATAAAACACAAATCATCTTATATAAATTATTTCTAAAAACAGTGTGTACTTTATTGATAATAGTATGTACTTATTACTATATTTATATTATATAACTACTCAATTGACTATTTAAAAAAGAAACAATACTTAATTCAATGCTAGAGAAAGATGTAGTAGGTTGTGAACTTTGAGAATGATAAGTGTTGTGTCATGTAGCTGGCAATAAGAGAGAGAGCGGGAAACACACAACAAGATGGCGTAGTTAAGGCAGTATTGAGAGTATAAAAAGTAAAGTTGTAAAAGCTACAAATACAAAGTTATAACAATAAAACTAAAAGTAGTTTCACTAATAATACAATAAGCCTGGTGCAGCTGAATTAGCTCTAATTAATTTTGAATATTTTGCTACCATAGGTACAGTGGCGTAGCTAGGTAACCTAGGGCCCTGGGGCAAATAAAAAAATGGGGCCCACTGCTATCAAAACTGGTAAGGCTTTTTGAAGTAAAATCATTAAATATACAAATACTTTAAACATGCTAAGCAACTTTATCATCAGCTCTTTTTCGTATCTGAGCAGGTAATAAAACTATTAAACACTAACAAACATAAATTACAATTATTTTTATACTTAGTGTAGGTATTGGGCAATAAAACGAAATAGAAAAGATTCAAAGGTTTATTATATATTTATTTATTCATAGATACGTTGCCCCAGCTTACTGTTATTTAACCTAACGCCATGCAAGCTATTTACAAAAATTATCAATATAAATATTTTGTCCAGAAGTACTTGCAGAAGGCTGACTAAAAAACTTGTCAATTTTGGGCAATTTTTGTTTACTTTCTTCTCTTTCTTGGCGTTGTTTGCGTTTAAATGCACCACTGGGTTTCTTTTTTTTGTCCATAATATTAGATTTCTAATTTATTTATGCAATATTTATGTAAGATTGTACTCAAGTAGGTACTTACTGTTCACTGACAACGTTACAAATAAAAGAAATGCGAAACGTAATGATACGATACAAGACGTCGTTGGGGAGTCCCCGGCAAACATTTTATCGCCGCCAGAGTTACCACATTTGACGGTTTAAAAAATGACAAAAAAACATCACGTAATTAATGGACGGCCCCCTACCGGAATTTTTCACGGAATTTTGAGTTATACAGGAATAATTTAAAACCACTGCGAAGATTTTGTGAGAATAAACTATAAGTAATTTAAACAAATACGTATTTTTTATTTTGATATGTTCTAATACTAAAAAATAAAGTTATCGCTTACCAAAGATCGAGATTTTAAAACTAAATTTATGGACACCGCGCGCCGTGCGTCAGCTGAGCGCGCGCTCTACGCCGTAGGTATGTACTCGTAGGTACAAGTATCTATCTACACGGGTCACTGACCGCTCATTTTTTTAGATTCGAACTAGATTTTATGCCATGATCTGAGGTGATTTCTAAGAGTAATTCCAATTTTCCCTTCATACTTTTATGGTTAAGGCCATCAAAATGCAAAAAAATAAATAAAAGAGAAACATATTCGTTACCTAAAAAAATATTAACGTTATGTCGAGGTTACATAGGTACTTCTGCGTTAAGGCGTATTTAAAAAATTGGAATCAACTACGTATTTACAATAATGTTGAATCAAAAATAATACTTAACTACAATAATAAACGAATCCGATTACTTACCGAATCTTGAACTGATCACTGTATTTTAATATTTGTTCAAAATGAAGTCCACCTCTGTCCAGACATAAACGTGCACATTTCATTAAATTGTTATTTAATTTATTTAAAAACTTTTCACTTCACTAAAAGCGTTATTATTTTTTATTGTTAAGTCTTCTAGGCTTTGTACATCCTCTACATCCCGGCGTTTGAATTCTACCCAAAAGAAACAGTCCCACACGTATGAACAATGCCTCATCCGTCCACAAGATGTTTGCATTGCGATGATGTAGAAGCCACTCGCATAAGACTCGACGTGGTACTGGGTCTAGGGCATGGAGCTGCTGAACCGGCTGAAAGTGGTACGGATGGAGTCCGGCTGTATTAAGCAGCTTCAATACCGCGGGCTGGCTCACACCAAAACGACGTACCGCATAGTGGGTACTAACTCTGGGACTTCGTCTGTTAAACTGGTTCATACATTAGGGACCGCGGGGTTATGGTTCCCAAAGGCTCGCATACGAGGTATGCTCTCCGTCGCATAATTTGCCGAACTGCGCTTAGGTTCTCATCACTCAGAAGATAAACTCGTACCATCTCGTAAAACTCACATCGTGATTGACGCGAACGGCGGGCACTGCGCTTGCGCGGGAACGTGAGGGCGCATCACATAGGCGCGTGCGTATGAGTCTCACTGCCGCCACTGACGCGCGCGTCGCTATGTCCCGAGCGGCGGGGGCTGTGGCGGGGTGCTGCCGGGCGCGGCGGGGATGCACGGTAGTATACGCAAGAGGAGACGTTTTCATTGAAGTTTTATTTTAAAAAATGTGTCCATATTCTACCGTTTCAATAGGGATAAAAATATTTAAAAAAAAAATAAACTAATTATGGAAAAGTGTTCTATAACTGATACTGAATCATCAAAAAAAATTTCACACTGAAAAAAAAAATATTCCTGTATAGTTAGTACCCGAAATCTATACATTTCTTTACGTAACTATGTATACGTACTATAATCCAATAAAATTGAACTTCTGTATGAACCTGTACAAAAATTTATTGACATACGCTTACTTACTCCTGATACATTAGCTTTTTAACCATTCTCGAAAAAAAGTCTTGACTGGAAGTTGACAATCGCGAATCACAAAAACGCATATCGATAAATAATAATATGGATATTGATATCCGACAAATTGATAAAAACATTAATAACACTGTCAACCCACACAAATAATTTAGGGGAATTCCCTTTTTATAACTTTGGAATTTCTCACAACTGAGTTGCAATGATTAAACTCGAGTTGTCACCTGTTATATTTATTTTGAAAATGGGAAAAAAATTCAAAAGTTGAGTTCGATTGGTATTTCTGGTAAAGATTCGAGGGCCCCCTGAGCTTGAGGGCCCCGGGGCACTGCCCCGCCTAGCCCCTTGGTAGCTACGCCACTGCATAGGTACCTATTTTGTCAAGTACGGACTTGATAAAATGGGTAGACAACGTAGTTGTGACAGCATTGGTCGCTTTTCCTGATTATCTTTACTTGCTGATTTTAACCAACCTTTGAACTCATCCATATTTCTATAGATCGAATCGATCTATAGATCGGAATGGAAAAATATGGATGAGGAAGTATACTTCCGGGCGTAAATCTTTTTAACGTATTAATTTTCAAACGGTAAATCCATTTTCAAATGGAATATTTTCCTTTACTTAGTTGAACCCAAATGAAACAAACTATAAGAACAGCCAACTGAGTCTACCGATGACGATTAATGGAATGAAAAGAATAGATGGAAATCGAAATCAAACAAACACTATCTATGAAAGTAGTAAAAAGGGAATCCCAACAGGCCATAGTCAGACAATCGAGGGAATCCCCAAAGTGATTCCGCTCGCGCTCGGATTTCATACGAGTAAGCAAGTCGCATATGTTTCGTTATCTCGCTCACTCTTGTAGGTGTTTATTGCTACTAGTCTATTTTTCGGGGACTCCCCAGGCTCCTTTTTTTCACCGCTCTAGCTACTGATACTGACCAAAAGTTGAATAAAGAAATAAGATATTCGTTGTCAAATTATTTGACAACGAAGTTTCCATAATCAAGCTCTAGATGTCGCTTTCAGGTATGAAAATTACTCCTTGATCAATCAGAACAATATACCTATGCAATAAACTATATAATCTGTGTATGCAATATACTCTCCGATCTTTGATGTACCTGCCTTGCCGGCTTAAAAATAAAAACTTAAACAAACAAAACGTTTTTTAGTTTAGTGTTCTGTTTAAATTAGTTTTTTACTGAAATATGGATGAAACTGTAATTCTACCTTCTCCAAATTGGTTTCAAGTTTCTGGTTTAGCCACCAGTAAAGATGGATGGCTTGTTTACGGTGGACCGAGTAAAAGTTTATGTGTTTTACAACCAGTACCTTTAGAATACGATGGTGTTATTGTGGGAACTAAAAGATATCATGCACACGTGGTCAACCGGGCTCACCTTGAAAAGTAAGAAGCTTTTGTATCGAAATGTTCTTTGTTATTATTTTGAGTAACCACAAGTTAACCATCCTACATTGGCGGTGAACGCCTGCTGATGGAATACGAATCTGAATTATTATCTTGTTCCCTTGAAAATCCACTGCAGGTTGGTCAGTAGGGACGAGAGATATAACCCGCTTTCCTAATTGTAAGGAATTGGGGTTGAGAACATTGATTTTTATAACCAAAACAGTTTTCTGTGGCTACCTACTCTTTGTAAAAGTTTTATAAGATTGTTAATTATAGTTACACACTATTGATCACCTTGTGTCTGAAAATGGTATGTATTTTATGCAATCTCAGGTGGGTTATACTTTATTTTACAGAATTGTAAGTGTTGATATTAGCCCAGAATGGCCAGACAAAAGATTTATTTTGACTGGGAGTGTTGATGGATCTGTTAAACAATGGAATTTAGAGCAACTACAATTATGCCAGATAATGAAATCCACACATAGTCATGACGTACATAGTCGCGGAAAAGAGGTAAATTATTATTATTATTTTTTTACATGATTTGTGATAAGTAATAAAAATATGGCATGATATATGATCAAAGTGGTAAAGGTTAATTTTTTTTTTAAATATGCAAATTGATGGCACTTTGGCAAACAACTTTAAGCCTAAGAATGGGGCAAGATTAAGAAATATCAATTCAGGCAATGGCTTTTGACGTTATAGCATTGTCATACATTGATTGATTATTAATTTGAAATTATTTCAAAAAAGAAGGTCTTTCAGGTGTCCTCTTAGGACTGGTAATATCAATGTAGCATTGTGAATTCAAAATTGATCAAAACCCTAATTTGATTATTTTGTTAACTGTCAAACAATTGTGATCCCCAATATATTCCTTCTAAACAGAGCTATAACTTTTTGATATATACAATCTATTGAAATCAAACCATTGAAGTGATATTTATACAAATATGTACACAAGATCAACAAATCATGTTAAGCTTTCGGACAGTTGTAATAAGATTTTTTTATTGTAGCTCAATTAAAGTGAATTATGAAAGTGTTATTCAAAGAAAATCAAAAATTTGATAGATTGTATGTTTGGAAAAGTATGTTTTGTCAATAAATAACCTTTACCACTTTGATCAACAATACAACTAGATAACTCCTCACATACTAAAACAATACTCAAATATGGCCATACACTGCGACAATCAAGGAACATAATGCCATACAGTGTTATTAATAAATAAGGTTTAGCCTTGGAGTAAATTTACGCTGAGCCTGCACTTAGTATTAGTCAAAATTCATATTATAAAACAGGGACCTTAAGGTTAACCTAGTATGAGGTTCTAGGGGAGTAATATTTACTCCTAGAAGGTTTGCTTATTGTCTGAATATTACAAATTTGGACAAATATTTCTATTTAAGTGTAAGTGTATTAATAGCACTGACAGAGTATATTCTGTGATAATACTCTAGGCGACTAGTACTCTAGTATGGAGTGACATTGTCAATTTTATTTATCTTGTATAATTACAATTATCTTTTATGTAATAACACCCTTAAATTTTTCTTTATTTTGCACAGATTATAATTTACGAATTTAACATTACTATGTTAAGAAGGAAATTTATAATCTTTTAGTACTATTAAGGTAGTGGTGGTTTTTTAGGGGTTTTTGTATAAATCTGAACAAAATGTAATTTTAATTTAACATACTAATATGAATATTAAATAAATAAAAGAAAAATAGCCTTTTTTCTCTGACTTTCTACATTCTATTAAAATTATTTAGTTTTTTCGCCAACATCGGCACCTGTACTGCCAGGTTGTCCTTTCACAAAGGCCTCCTCCAATTTAATCCATTCCTCTCTATCTTTGGCTGTTCTTCTCCATCCCTTCGGTCGGTCATCTTCCCATCTATTTATCTGTCTACCTCTTTTGTGCTGTCCATCATGTCCATACCATATTCTGATATCTTTTGCCCATTTTGGTTTTCTTGATCATTTTTGGCCACACATGATTGTCCACTTCCATTTTAAGGTCTTCACCTTATGGATTACATCTACCACACCTGTCCTCTTCCTTATATCACTTATCAGTCTGTGGTTAGTAATGAAGTTTAACTTGTTGATCACTTCAATGTTCAGGAATTGATAGGATATATTCGTAATTATAGTCTATGAATCTATGATATTTCTATGTTTACCATCAGTGGATATCCATGGCCATTGTTTTGATGTCTTTTTCTTGAACAAAGTATTCATAATTTTAAGATTATACTCCATTGCAAAGTTATTACCGTTTTTGTTTCTTATTCCTTTGCAAAAATTTTCCTATATGTATTTCGTCTATTTGTGCCTTGCCAGTCGCCTATTAATATTTTTTATTTATAAGTTTCCTCTGTTGTTTCATGTAATGTGACATAAAATTGATCCTTTTCTTCTTGCTTTTATTACTCTGTGGGTGCATATATTTCATAGCATGTTTGATTTCAGGAAGTATAATATTTAATATAGCAATTCTGTCAGATTTGCATTGAACTGTACAATATAATGTTTTTTGAGTACATTCTTCTTTAATTGGCTTCAATTTTTCTCTAAAGCTTCTGAGATCGTTGCTGTTATATTTTGTGTTAAAGTTATTATTTGCTGTGCTTATTTTTCATTAAATTTTCGAACTGTTGCTCCAGAGTAAATAATCGTTAGTAATGTTATTCCCAGGTTAGTAATTTTATTTTTCTACTGGTATACCCAGAATCCAAAATCCACATGCAATTCTATAGTTGGATCTAAGTTGGTAGCCCTAAAATTCTAGCGTTAAGATGACGGTTGTTTGTCATAACATAATATAGATGCTTATATGTATTTGTTATAGAGGTAATTTTTTCACTCTCTCCTTGATGTAGCATTAATCATTCGTTATTTTGTTGGTTTCGTATACTGAGTGACTTAATTTTCGATTTATTATCTTTTTGATGCACAAAACTCTAAATATATAGCAGAACCTCAGTGAAAACGGCGGACATAAATGCTTACTAATATTAATTAAAAACATAGTAATATATAACCTTTAAATAAGTTAATTTTATTATAAAGTTGTCTCTTGGACTTATTTCACATCTCATTTTCTTTTTTGCATATGCAATGCAGTCTTACGTCAGCAAAATATTCAATCATTAAATTAAGTAAATCTGTTTTATGGTTTAATTCGTCACTTCAGAGACCGCATCTTTTGTTGTAAATACTCGAAATACATATAAAACGCCCAGAACGATACAAATCTACATGTTCATGCACACGGCTTTGTAATCGAGAAATCGAACCACTACACCAAGATGGTTTTCAATTAGTGTTAAAATTATTGATAATATTTGTAGATGTTTGCCCTGTTGGCGCATGGTTTGGCTTCGAAATAAAACTGTTATTTTATTGAAAATACTTTGATTATAAATTATAGACCTTTGATTAAAACCATAAGGGAAGATACTGCATATCTATCGTTGCATTGACTAAAAAATGGCACTGATAAAATTACGTATGTAAACTCACACACACGGTATTCCCCGAGCAAGCAAAATACAGAAGTCAGTTCCAACTACAGCGTGAGTGAGACAGGAACTTACGTTATTGGTAGCATATATCAATCGGGCGAGCGAGACAGCAATGAATTTCAACACTGACAAGAGCCAACCAGGAACTTGTGATCGTTACACACATTCTTTCTCCGAATGATCTCAGCTATGCGATCAAATCTAATGCTATAAAAGGATAAGAGTATATGCTTATTATTCTTTCTTAAAAAAGGCAAACTAGATTCCTATTAAATAATTGATTTTGATTTAAAAATGTGTGTCTTTGAACATGTATGTGAGGTGAATGTGATGCCATGAAATTTGGTTTTTGTTCTTGAACTATTTCTACTGTCTATAGAACATCCAGGCGTATGTTCCACCTTTCTCCCCCTCGCTTTCATGCATGTTGTTGTTTTTAGCGTGTGTGTCCTTCGTGGAGTGATCGAACCATACTAATAGTGACAAAAGTGAAATTGTGTGCATGCACCTAATTTGAAGTTTCCATTAACAAAGCGGTTGTGCGTATCTGCCCTTTTTGTTCTAATCAAAGTTTCACATATATAATTCTGATAGTTATATTTGCAGTTTTAATACGCATTGTGGCATCGTAACTAGAGATGGGCAAAGTGTTTCCGCCCGGCGGGCAGATAGGGAAAAGAACCCGGGCATTTTGAAAAAAAAAGAATTGCCCGATAAATGCCCGAGTCATTCATTCATATTTCAGTATAGATAATTATGACGTAAATATGCTCGTAATTGATCTATACGTATAAAAGAACTGAGTAGCTCGGTGGCATAGTGGATAAGCGCCGCGGCCCGCGATCGTTGTCGTTAAGCAACTTTCGCAAGTGTCGGTCACGGGATGGGTGACCAAAAAATATTATCTCGAGCTACTCCGTGCTTCGGAAGGCACGTTAAGCCGTTGGTCCCGGCTGCATTTGCACTCGTTAATACCCTCCAATCCACATAGGCCAGCGTGGAGTTTCATGGCCCATCCTCCTTAACCATCCATAAGGAAGGCCTGAGCCCCTGCAGTGGGGACATAAAAGGGCTGGTGATGATGATGATGATGTATAAAAGAACGTGTTCTGATAAATTAACTAATTCATGATAGCCAAACGTAAACTATTGAAGTTGGACTAATATGCTTTGATCAGTAGAGTTATTTTATATAGTTTGTACTCACTGAGGTTGAAAGTTTTTATGAAGTCAGTCAGTTTTAAAGTTAGAAACCAGAAACTTTATTTTTAGGTTACTAATAACGATTGTCTAAACAACTGTAACTGCAAAAAAGATTTTTTACCTTTAGAGGGGTGAAATAGGTGGTGCAGGAGTATGGAAGTCCGTAATTATTGAAGTTAGAAACGTGAAACTTCATTTTTTAGCCATTGTTATAATTAGTTCATTTGTGTCAGTGAGCGCCACTGATCCACTGTTCTATTCGGAGCAAACTTTGAGATTCGGATTAGTGCATCACTTTGCTGAACCGACTCACTGAGTACCAAAACCATCTAGATATCCAAGTTATTAACAAAAAAATCTTAGAGGTTACTCTTTAAAGAAACTTTAGAGCTAAGCTCTAACTCTAAGAATAAAGATGAATAATACTTGAAGGGAATGTTACCCACGTATGTTACCTTAAGCTAGCTGATGTTGGTTTTAAAGGTACCTCTATGATTTTTAATGATCATTATTATTTTTTTCGGACCGTACTATTCTTCCAGTCTAATTGTACCAACCAGCGAATTAAAATTTTGAATTTCAGGAAATTGCAGGAGTTGGTTATTCTAATGAATCATGTGCGATCACTGTTGGATGTTTTGGGATTATAGTCAAATGGAATTTAAATTCAAATGTGGTGACCAGCTTTAATCATTTAAGAAATTTCAAACCAGTGTGCATGTCATGCTCACCACACATACCTCTCAATGTGGCTGTGGGAACAAAACAAGGAGTGGTGTTTGTTTTAGATTTGAATGGTTTGTGATTTTTTAAAACAAATTTGTCTTATTTGTTTATTGCTGTTTAATGTCAATTTATGATTATCGGTTAACCTTTCTTAGGTAGTTTTGTATATAGGAATGGAATAGATATGAAACTAACAGTGAAATAACTTTACAGGCACTGGTAAAATTGTCTATAAAGTCAGGGGACAAGATGATGAAGTTTCAAACCTCAGCTGGTGTCCCCAATATGAAGTGTCTCTAAAGAAAATTCTTAAAGAATCGGAAAAAAGAGGTAATAATCCTAACGCAACTAATGAGGAAGTTAGTACTGATACAGAATTAAATGCATCTGGTTGTGAGAAAAATCTACCAGATGATAGCTTTAATGAATCTCAAATAGTAGCAGAGGATGATATGTTTGATATCTATAAAGATCACGAAGCTGATGAATTCGGCCATAAAAAGTACCAACCTGAAGAAATACTAGTCAAAGTTCATCAAGCTGTAGATGAAAAAGGCGATTATTTGGCAGAATGTTTAAAACTTAAAGAGGATATAATCAAAAGAAAAAATCAGGCAGATGCATCAATACAGTCTCTAGTAGATAGTTTAGACAAAACTCATGTACATAAAAGTGAAGATATTTCTGATACCAAAGACAGTGACATGACAAAAGTAGATGAGATTGAAGCTAGTGAACATATTCATAAGCACCTTTTAGCTACAATCAGTAAATATGGGTAAGTTTAATAATGATCTGGTAATGACATGGTTTTTGTAAATGTCATTACTCTTATTAGAGCTGGTGAGTTTCTTGCTCGTTCTTCTTATCAGCCAAAAGACGTCCTGAACGAATGGTAGGGAAAAAATGTTGGACGATTCAAAAGTACTTTTAAGAAGTCTATTTGAATAAAGATTGTTTTGACTTTGACTTTGAATGTAGATGTAATGTAGAATTTGTGTAGATGCCATTTCTCAATGGTTTAAAACAAAGTTTTTCCACAACTGAAAATATATTATATCATGTCATATTATTAAACTATAATTATTTTTTTTATAAAAGACTCATTCTTGAAATAGAAGTATTTTTTAAAAAAGGGGTCTTGAAACCTGATATATTTATTGTTAAATACTTAATAACACATATGACACACTATTAGCAAGAAAATAATACTGTTTACGATTTTCATTGACAAAAAAAAACACTAAACAAATTACCATCTAGTGATGCTTATAAATTATATAACTATGGCATTTCATATTAGTGGTCATTTAATAATTGTTGTTTTACAGTAGCGTTCGTGTTTGGTCTAAGTCAGGCAAGTTGATTGGCAGTTGTGTTATTCCCAATATGAATAGTAAGCATTCAAAGAATAAGGCACCTTTCTGGCCTACCCTGCTGTGGTATAAATCCAATGTGCTATTATTAGCTGATGGGAAAAATAACTTACTCGAGTGTAACCCATTGAAACTTGACTGGTAAGACTATAAAACTTCATACACTGTAAAGATATTATATTATATATTATATGAAATTAAATATTGCGAGTTTTCTTTAATGTTTCAGTAAAAACAAACTAGATTGGAATGTAGTCCATACTCTTCACAAACGCAACATATACTGCATTGCATCTAACGCGCCTCGTGTGCAATCTAGCAACGAAGCCAATGAAGAATGGTCCATATGGACAACATCACAAGATCGTAACATTATTCAATACTCATTGAGCGAACGACATCCAGTTGCTATACATGCCACCTGTGGTGGTTTTATATACTCTGTTCAACCTTGTCCCTATGATGCTGGAAAGTAAGTTTTGTATGATTTTTAAAACAAAATATTTTTTAATAAGACTTCGATGTCTCTTTGTATTTCCGCGTGTCACCTGGATGTATATCATAAGCTGTAAAAGTTAGACAGTTGAAATTTTCACAGAAGATGTGTTGTTGCCGCTATAAAATACCAAAAACCAGAATAAAACAAACTCTTAAAGAGGCTCTCAACAAACGTGATTTTTTGGTCGTTTTCGGTACGGAACCCGTCGTCCGTGAAGTATTCGATTTCTAATTGTAGTTAGAAGTTCCTTATTCGTTAATATGATGCGAATATATAAACAGTTGAAACGGAATTTTTCGGGATATGTATTTCCATAGGCCTAATATGAACACACTAAAGAAAATTTGTGTTTATATTTTAATTGTTGAGTATTGAATGTGGCTCACGAACAATTTGTCAGTTTAATGAGATACTAATCCAAGTCTTATTATTCAATTATATGAAACTAGTTAAAATACACTGTAAAAAATAATATTTATTAAAATGGTAATGATATCACCGATAACGATATGTCATCGGTACTGAAAGGATATTACGGGATTGTATCTATATTATAATACGCTTCTTTGTTTTACAAATAACCCGCAAATAATAAAAAAATTAAGAGCATACATAGTTATCTTAATCTCTGTCTTCATTTTTTTTTATTCTGCAACTAAATCTTATTATATGTAAACATAGTGATATTAATTATCTTTTTATAACATCTTAGGTTTTTCATTATTTTGCACACATTATAATTTAACAATTTAACGTTACAATGTTAAGAAGGCAATTTATAGCGGAATATACTTTCAGTTAGTACTACTTGATAGTTCAAGATAGTGGTGGTTTTTCTCACTATCTGGGGTTTTTCATATAAATTCTGAAACAAAATGTAATTTAAATGAAATGAAGTAATATTAATTACCTTTCAATAATTCAAGCTTATTATAAAGTTGTCTTTTGGACTTATTTTTAATCTCAGCCGTTTCTGTTTTGCTTATGAAGTGTAATGTTATGTCAACAAAACATCCAATCACTAAATTAAATAATTCAGTTTTATGGTTTAATTCGTCAATTTCAGAGAAGGTATCTTTTGTTTTAAGTAGTTTGTTGTAAATAGATACTAAAAATACATATAAAATATCCAGACCTATACAAACCTATATGTTCATGTTCACGACTTTGTAATCCAGAAGACGAACCACTACACCAAGATGGTTTTAATTTGTGTAAATTTTTTTTGTAAAAAGTGTAATAGTACATTACTCCATGTATGTGCTGTCTTAGAACATCGGATATTTGGTTGGTTAGCTCAGAAACAAAACTCTGTTGTTTTATTGAAAATACTTTGATTATTAATTATAGACATTGTAAAATTACATTTATAATCCGAAAATATGATATTCCAATAGATAAGTTTTTATTCTGATTGTTATATTTGCAGTTTTAATACGCACTGTGGTATCCTAACATGTCGAAACATACTTAAACAAAATAAGACGACATTTTTAAGTGAGGCGTTATGTCTTCGTCCATTTTTGACACTGACCGGGCATCTATATAGTTGTGTTGTTGATCGAAGTTTGTAGATAAAACCTTTTTCTATATTAATCAGACACTGACATCATTTCGTATACCTTTTTGAATTAATATTTAATACACTATTTATTGTTTTTATGTCACTCTCTTCTTTACTCTCGTCTGACTTTTATGTATTTACAACGTGAAATATATTAAATACTCCAATCCACTGTGACTCTTAATTCCTACATTTTAAGAAAGTTTGTATGTGACTTTTTTGTCCAATTATCTCTATAAGTATTTTATTAAGTTCGGAATTGTCTCTATACTTTTTAGGTGATATGAAGAAGCAAACTTTCAAAGTGTCACGTTTCTTTTTTTTTTGTTACCAAATCACGTCTTATTTCAGAATTGCCATAAGTGCAGGTGACGGCACGATTAGAATATGGAACTCGAGCATTTCAGAAGAAAATGAAAATAAATTGCAAGATGATCATGTCACTTGTTATTGGCAGAATGTGCTGGGGAAGGTTCTAGTCATCGCTTGGCATCCGACTAAAGAAAATTTATTGGCTTTTGCTACTGCAGAATCCAGGGTACTAAATATCATTAATTACAGTGCTAGTTAGATTATACAATGTCTTAAAAGCTTGTGAGACAAGATTGATTTTTATTATTTAACATGGTAGGCTAGTTAGGCTCTTACAATATTGTATGGACAGGGCAGATTCACAACTTACATTTAAAATGCTAAAAGAAAGCTAGCGAATATTAAGTATAGAATTTTTTTTATATATTAGTTTTATTTTTCTTAGTTAATAATTTGTAAAGATATTTTTTTTTCTAAATAATTATTTTTAAATAATTTGTTATTAAAATTAATTTTATTCACAACATAATAGAAATAACAAATTTTACACAAATGCGTGTTTAGCTAATAATAATAATAAATAATAATTAAAAGAAACTATGTTGTTTACTAAGTTAATGATTGATTAAGACTGAATTTTAATAATAGTTTTCGTTATCAGGTAGGCTTAATAGATACTAGTGGACGCATAGAACGCCCGGCGAAAACTTTGGTGCCGGCATTACGAGGCGCCGTGTACTCCATCTCGTGGGGCGAACACAATGACCTGTACGCGTGCGCGGCCGGCGAGCTGGTCGTGTATGACACCAGCGCTGTACACGACGGTGAGTGGATCATTCAGTGTTCACATTGTATGAATTGTATGCTGCCATGCATGCTATGTGAATGCGCATGCTGTGAAAAATGAAGTTTGGATTAGTTCGGATGATCAAAATGTGGATCTTTTGGAATCAAGATGAAACAACAACAATACCTTTTAATATAGAAATGATACAATATATTATATTTTGACATAAATATTATTAACATTGAAATATAAAACCTCTGAATAAAATTAAAAATTGGGTTATTCTAACTATGCACAGCCGCAGCGAGCGACAGAAAGATAGTAACGGATTCGACAAATCGAAGTTCCGCTGTAGTTCGTATTCGCTTTTGTACAGCAACTAATGGGTGTTAGCTATTTTTCTATATTTTCTTGTAATTATTCTCTTTTATTAGGAATATTTTGACACACAAATAATACGTGGGTTACTTTGTAGCCGACGGCTACCTGCAACATATTTGTTGGTGGAAGTTTCTAACGATGCTGATACAGAGCGGGGTCTGTAAATTAAAACATTCCTTCACGTAACGATCGGAGAACTCATTTATTGGTGATAATTTTAATTACTTAGGTGCAAATTGTATTGCCGCGTATAGATCCTATCTCAATCAGTCGGTCTAATTAATTTAATTGGAGCGGGGGTACACCACCTCGCACCGCGCGGGAGGGGAAGGTCGCTTCGTTTTGTTTCCGTTGGCGGCGTGGCTCGGTTGCCCTTTACAATACATATTCGTTTGTTCTGTCAGAGCCTCGCGCGGTGCCGGTGGTGGTGGACGGTCAGCCGTGCGAGGTGAGCTGCGTGCGGCACACCGCGCGCGCGCTGTTGTGCGGCACCGCCGCCGGCGCGCTGGCGCTGCTCACGCCGCGGGCCCCGCACGCCGCGCTCGCCGCCGCGCACGTGTACAGGTCAGTGTGTACCTGTGGCGCTGCTCACTGGCAGTGTGCTGTCTTTCCGTTCGTTTTTGGCAGACAGTCAGGATAGGGAACGATCGAGTTCAAATTTGGTTACAAATAAGTAACTCGGTGACCCAAGGATGGTTGTGCGATATAAATTATTTAATTTTATACACGTGTGCAAATTGAAATTAGTTTTTATATCTATAGGTTACATGAATACGTATTAATTTCTGGTTTTTAACATTTTAGTTTAAGTTAATGCATGTCTAATTATTTTGACATATACATTTCTAAGTTGTGCGGTAAGATATTCATAAAAGGGGTTGCAGAGTTATCAGTATTGTCAAGAAATTCTTTTATAATAAGGATTTGCTTTTATATTTCAGCAAAATGATATATGCTATGGAGTGGCATCCACAACAAACGTCATTTTCTAGTGAAGAGTCCCAATATAAAAATCTGATAGCTGTATGCTCGATGGATAAACAGAACAAAATAGTTATATTAGAATACATCGAGGGAGAAGGTAAAACACAAATACAAATAACATTATTTAACATTAAAAAATATATATTCAAATATAAATAAAACTTTGTTAATACATAATATTGATCTGTTTTATAATACCTCAACTGGCATTAAGTCTTAAATTTTCAATATGTTAGGACACTCGTTGTTTACAACCTATTTAATATGACTGTTAAAACCAAAATAAAGATTATAAAAAATTTGGTCAAATATAGGTAATATTTAGGAAACATTACAAAATCAAAAATTTTAAAAGTATTTCTTTCGGGTGTTCTGGTGAATTGCATGAAGATCAATGAAAATACGCTGACTAGTAGAGGAAATCTTTGTCAAGATCTTGGATAGCCTAATAGTTAGAATCCGAGTTTAGTTAGTCAGTCCCGTTAGTAGCCCGAATTCCGATTTTCGTCACCAGGGCCAGTCCCAGGTATTTGGTACTAATTTACGGAGTACTAAGTTTTTGGAGTATTTTTATATAAGTAATATAACATATTTAAGATTCTAATTGTTCAAATAAATTTTTAGATGGCAGTAAACATCTTCAGACTTGGAAAACCTTGAGTGGCAGCAAATCACCTGTGTACCAAGTGTCGTGGAACCCACACCGTGATGCTCAATTACTATCTACCTCACAAGATTGCACTGTCAGGGTAAGTTGATTTTGAATATACATCTATGTAAAACAATGTGGCAATGAAATACGAACATATAAGCACTAGGGAATATGCGTACGGTTTAAAAGAGGTTAAAATATAATTTATTATGATCATTATTGCTTTAAAATAAAGTCTATGTAAATATTTTTTTACTTAATTTCGTCTTCGTTTTTGAAATAATTATTAAATAGAGCCAAAGAAATTATTTAATTCATTACATTTTAAATGATGTTTAAGACTTATTTAGTAAACTATATGGTTATTAAAAAAAGTCAATTATATTTAAAAAATGTGTTATCCTTTATAAAAAAAAACGTGTAACATAATTAACGCACATCCTTAAAGTACTTTGTTTAAAATCAGACACTGATTAGGTTTTTACAACTTCTAATATACTTATTTTTTTTGTATTTTAATTGGAATCCAGTAAACTATGGTCACCAGCAACAAAAAATAAACTAAGTAATTGTAATAAAGCTTTAATAAATGCACTATATTCTTAGCTTGTAATAATATATAAAGGAAAAAAAAGAAAAATGAGCTTTTTTTAATATGCCTTGAGTCAAAATGCTCTTATGCGCTATGTTGCACAAGTTCATAAACCAAAAAGTAAAATAATTCATAAACAAAGAGAAAAATAATATACGAAGATAGTGGCAGTGGATGATTATTTTATCGCAATTTAAGTTTAGCGAATTTTCAATTTCCGATGTGATGTAACTTCGTTATACTAAGATACAGTAAATAGATCGAAATGCTTAAGGGTTGGGCATAATGTGGTGATATGTGGGGGATTAAATTTGTGTGGGGGAGGGGAGTTAAATTTTTAAAATTTTGTTTTAGATACATTTGTAGTTGCAGGCTAAGCCGTATTTTTTACTTAGCAAATCGTGTGATGTTGTTAAATATTTATTTATTTATTTATCTAATTGGGGTGTATAAGATGAGTAACGTATCGCGCGCAGGTGTGGGACGTGAGCGGTGGCGGTGTCGCGGGCGCGTACACGTGCGCGTCCATATTCAGCGGGCACGGCGCCAGCGCGCTGTGCGGCGCGTGGAGCGCGCAGCCCGCGCTAGAGCGGCGCGCGCTGTCCGGCGGCGCGGACTGCTGCCTGCGGCTGTGGCACGTGGACCACCATCCCGCCGCACACTACCGAGGTAACACGGCCAACACGCGGTGTCTCCGGAGCGGCATATATAGGGTTGCCACAATTTTTTTATTTGTATGTCCGTATGTTAACGCGTAGTCATTGAATTACGGCGATGAATTTTGTTAGAATGTCACATGACGTCATGTTTTGGTATGTTTATTACTGAACTGTGACGTAATGAGCCCCCACTTTTCTACTTTAATACTTGCTATCGAAGCTATTTCTTGTTAAATTGCAGTAAAAAGAAATAAGTGTCTAATATTTTTCTATTATCTGACTGACAGACTTATTCGATTAATACGAAAATAAGATTTTATATTTAAAAAACCGACTTAGTGCCAGTCGGACTTGCGCACGAAGGATTCCTTAACAAAAACGTGAAAAAAAAAAACACGTTTGTTGTATGTTGGCTCCGTTAAATATTAATTTTATTCTGTTTTTTTTTTCGTGTTTGTCGTTATAGCGGCAATAGAAAGATATAATCTGTGAAAAAAATTACTGTCTATGAATTGGTCGTGACTCTCCACGTTAGCTCAATGCAAATTGGAGGGTATTAATGTCCCGCAAATACAGCCGGGACCGAACGCTCAACGTGCCTTCCGAAACATAGAGGAGTTCGAAATAATTAATTTTTGTCCACACACCTGCTGACCACTGCACTATCTAATTAGAAATGTAATGCATGTTATCATACCTTATATGATACATATTATCATAATATAAATTGAGGAATAAAGATAGTACTCAGTTTCAATCATTGAGCTACCTTACGAAAATTGAAAACAACAGAAACATCAACTTAATTTGTTCGGATAGGGGTATAAGTGGTTAACGTATAGTCTTTTTACACTGATTTTGCACAGAGTTATTATTGTCTCATTTATGTTTTAGAAAGCCTGCACGACGTAGCAGTTAAAAAGGAAAAAAAGAAAAACAAGAAGCAAAAGGATAAGAAGGAACCTAAAGAAGAGGTTAACAATGAAGAGCCAGTCATGGTGGAATCTGACACGGTAGCGGCTAGTTTAGATAGTAAAGTGAGAGTTCAAAAAAAGTTTTTGTTGCCCATCTTGTTCAAACAGATGTCGAACCTCTGCAATGTGGAGGGTGTGAATATAATGTTCCAGAAATATTTAGAGAGAACTTCACCTGATAAGTTGAGTGATGGCACAGTGAATGCCGAAGAGAGCTTTAATCTAGATTATGTAAAATTATTTGGCAGCATCAATGAGGTGAACGAACTCTTGGATGAGGAAAGTGAGTATAATTAGAATGTACCTTTATGTTTGATTGGATTTGTTTATTGTTAAAGTCTGATTGGTACAAGTGATACACATTTCTGTCACTTCTTGACCATTGACGAATATATCAAAATGGGACATGGCCCATGTATGTGATATTTTTGTATTTTTACACGTAATTATATTTTAAAACCTATGTTTTGCAGTATAAAAATATTGCCCATGTCGAGAGATTACACACTAGTTTTGACGGAACTGTTCAAAGTAATTAGCGATATCTAGTCTGATTTTGAGAACAATCTACTTTTTTTATAAATACTTCCTCATACTATAAATGAACTTTAAACATGATTTCCGCCATTAAAACAATTAAAATAAAGAAAATCCATTCTCATCATATTTTATGCAGGATAAAATCATCATCAACAGCCCTTTGTACGACCCGCAGCTTTCCTTATGGATGGTTAAGGAGCATAAGCTATGATCCTCCACGCTGACCTAATGCGGATTGGAGGGCGTTATCGTCTGTAAATGCAGCCGGGACCAACCGCTTAACCTGCCTTCCGAAGCATGGAGTGGACCGAATAATAATATTTGGTCACCAAAAATATGATAATTTTAATTTTGCCGAATTCAAATACTCCTGTTCCCATTTGGTTCTCACTAAAGTTTGGACTATTTTGGTTTCCAACACTTAAGAATTTTAGAACGTTTGTCGTAATAGGTTTTTTGTGCATGCTGAAACCAAGTCACAAATTACACTGATTCACGTAAATTTAAGTAAATTCTTTAAAAAGAGGAGAATAGAATTCATTTTATAAAAACATAAACTCAGTGAAACACTGCATTCTGGCGAAATCCACAAGGGCAATGCCAATAATTAAAAAGAACTCATTTTCCGAGTGAAATGTAGAAGTTACTTTTCGAAACAAGAGGCGTTTAGGGAACCAATAAAGTAGTAGTGAACAAAATATGTGTTAAATGTTAACAGGAGAACGAATTTCATAGTTAATCGAGTGAGTTATGAATTTATATTTTAGTGGATCGGCACGAGGCGAGCGGTAACACAGAGGCTTGGGCAATGTTAAGCATGTTTCGTGGGCAAGTGGACAAGATGATACAGTTCGCGAGTCAACGAGATCTGCTCTGCCCCTTCTTGCTTAGCCTCGCGCCCTGTGTATCGTTCAAGTGAGACTTACAAGATTTTTTTATAATAATTCTTTATTTTCCACAACATAGAGGAACAAACAAAACCCCGGTTACGTTTAGCTGTAGCTCATTTGTAATATTAAATCCTCTAAAATAACTTGTTTATTCATAAACGTCTATAGCTATATTCCATTCACTATAAGTGAAAGTGAAAAAAAAAAAAAAAGAGGGTCACATATATATTATTTTTGTTGAAACTTTGAACGTTAGGTACTCTGAAAGAGCTGAGCAATTTTCCATTTTTTTTTTATGATACCTCGGGGTTGAGATGAGGCCAGCATTTTATAAATTCATCTTTTAGTCCCAAGCCAACATGGAACTAAAACGATCTGCGTGTTTTGATAAATTCAAATTTAAGTGTAATAGTTACACTATTGATGAAAACATTGGAAAAACTCCCTGAAATGTCAAAGTTTGAGGGTAGGTATGGGGGCTTAGAGCGTAATTTTTATAGGCCACTTGGGCTTGTATCGGCATCGTCCATATTTACTAAATCTTAACAACAAAAACAAAACAAAAATAAAACAGTAACATCACGGAAAACGGCAAAACAACAAGAAAGGCAGTAGCATTCACAATGGATGACAATCCCAGATTACGATTTTAACAATTATGAATAAATAATATTCTGACAAAATTAAAAAGCTGTACTACCGAAACGTTTGAAGGGGTTAGGCAACGTTTTAAATTTGGTAGAGTTATAGTGACATCAGAATCGTGCCGAAACTATCCAAACCTGCTTCTTGAGGTTCTTTACGATGAACACTTTTTATTGTAATATTTATTAAATCATTTAAGTTAGTCATATACTCATAAATTTGTTTAATAGATAGCTTAAATGACAACAGTTAAGTATAGCAGCTGGTATTTAAGTGGATATGCAGCAAATTAGCCGTCAGTCTTTAAAGTAACATGATTATTGATATTTTGTCACAAAGTATACCATAAAAAGAACCTTATTTAACTTCTGTCTAATGTTATAATTAATGGAGTATAGGGATAATAACATCGTGAATAAGTAAATATTACACAACATGTTGCTCAGATTCCGAAATGAGTATCTAAAGGTCCATGAAGTATATACATTATGTAGTATATATCCCACCCAAGACAATATAGAAAAGTCCATTTTAAATTGTGATCCAAACAGGAATCGAACCCGGGACCTCTGAGATGTTGAAATTTCAAATAGATAGTATATCCTTTGTTTTATTTATGGACTACAATTTTAAGTTTTCACTAATTCAATATTTTTATAAAATAGAGCATTCTATTTTTATTAAAATATTCTGACATTATGTAAGAATTTTGTTTATACATCATAATTACTAACTTTTTAAATTTAATTTGGTGAAAGTACTAAATGAAATATCTCTAGAAAAAAATCATAGTACATATATATTTGCATTTAACTTTTAAAATTGTTCAGTATCTGTAACCGAAACCACTGGATAATTCGAAATCAATTGGTTATCCAAAATAACATATACGTAACATCCCTGGATCTACACTTATATTCTTATTTATTAACATAAATAGTAATGTAAATACCGGTTTGATTCTAGATACTGGAAAGATGCAACTCAACTGTATATTGCTCAGATTGACAGATTAGTGGCTAAAGGAGAAGAGGAGAAATTATATGGTAACTCTCACATATATAATAGTAATTTAACAAACGAATACGGATATTTATACTAATTATTATACTTATTTTTCAGAGAAGAAAACATATGGCGGTCCCATATATCGTAAAGTGGCAACTTTATTGAGTATTCATGACGTGAAGGGCGCCGTAACCACACTCACTGAGGCTGATCTCTACAAAGAAGCCTACATTTTGTGCAGAACGAGGTAAGACAAAACGTGCATTTGCTTCGTCTTTAAAGGGGGCCATTTAAGTATTACGTAATGCAAATTTTTGACGCTCCTTCCCCCCATGTGATGCGCCGTAACGTTTTTCTGAACCTTCCCCCCTCCATAAACGTTACTAAACACTCGAGTGACCAAACCTATTTGTTTGCTAGCAGTGAAAAGTTGGTTGGTATTTTTTTGCCAACGTTACACTGGCTTGTTAGCTCGACTTTATAGGCAGAAATAGGTGGTGATGCAAATCTCCCTGTTTTGAGGTCGTTACTGTATAAACTCCCTTTCGTAACACTAACTCGGCAATTTTCTTTGCCGACTTAGGGAGATTTCTATTCCCAATTTTTGTATTCAATTACAAAACCTATGTTGCATAACGCTTTGTACGAACACATTCTATTTGAAAATTAATAAATTTATATTGATTTTAGATATATGGACAGCATAGCAAAACAGACGCTACAACAGTGGGCTGCATATTGCGTAAAAACAGGAACTTTCATAATGGCTGCTGTTTGGTAAGACATCATGAAATTTACATTATTTCTTAATAATTTCGAGTTTCAGGAGTAAAGATACAGAGCTTTATTTTATTTCTATTTTTCCAGTTACATTGCCCTCGAGGATCTTTCTCAAGCGGCAATAGTTCTTGGAAAATTGAATGATCAGGACGCTTTGAAATTAGCATCAGATATAGCGAAAATCATCGGTCAAAATACATTTGCGGAGCACATCTTCGAAAAGCAAGAAACTATTAAGAATAGCGTCATCTCAGATAGGATTGAAGAGATTTTAAAAGAATTGCCTTCCAGAATGGAGGCTCTCATGAGTGACGGCGATAAAAAACAAAATGGCGACACATATTCTGTTGAAAGCACTGACGTCACGGACAGTGGGGATACTAAAGAGTAAATCTCATTGCGTAGTTATCAAATTTACTAATCGCCTCGATTTCAATTCAAAAGTAATTAGTGTTGCATGTGATTGATATTAATTTGCATCTTTCAGTATTATCGTTACAAAGTGTTTTTAGCGAAAGCAATTTCCATTGGTTATGTATTGTTACGATTCTTGTCTCCTTTTTACTACTTATAAACATCAATAAACTGTTCCATTTTATTTGGTTTTTATTACAGTAAAACAAAATTTTACAATTAATCATTTCTGTATATAATCAACATACAAGGAAATTACGAATACAATATTTGAGACATCAAATTGTGCGTAATTTTAATCAGGTAATTTTAGAAATATATATTTTAGATTCTGTATTCATAAATGTGAATTAGTATTTTAGTATGATAATATACACATATAAGTATGTATTTACATGCAAACTATTTATTTTCTATGTATTATTATAAAAATAATAGTATTGGGCACCACAAAGTTTTTAAGTACAAATATAAACTAATAATACTTAATGCTATTGTACCATGATGATCACAATAATTTATCTAAATACTCGACAATCAACCTGCCATGGCACTAATTCAATCACATTGAAGTTCAAACATTTCGATTATGCTTTCGTTGTAAATAAATGCTTACTGGAATGTTGTAACATTCAGTCTTTCATATCATAATGTTTGTCAAATCGGGAATCCTCTTCATCAACAGTGCCAGCTGTCATTCGACTGTCTTACAAGGTATTCACTAAAATTTGCTCTATAAAAAAGTTAAGTTTGTCTCAAGCTTGTTCAGAAACGTCTTGATTTTCCATGTCATATTTCTTCCCTCTCTTTTTGCAAATTTGAATCAACTTCGCATTCACCTTCTTTAGTTTCTGGTTCTCTTTCATGACGTCAGTTATTTGTTGATTCTGCAAAGAAGTTTAATTTCAAAAATTTGATTTAGCATAAAACTCAAAGATTTACCCAAGAATTAAGAGGGCAAATTTTAGGTATGTATGTCAATTAGTTCCTAAATACCTGTACAATAGCGCTGCCAGTTGCAATATACACAGGATTAGGCGCTGAGGCAGATGTTTGCGAAATTAATTGGTGTTCTAACGCTGCTTTTTGTTGAGAAAGTTTGTCTACCGCCTGAAATGCACAATTAAATAACGTTTATTTTATATTCAACTTGTACAATAATAATAAAACGTTAGTAATAGCGAGATCTCACCGACTTGAGACGCCTGAGTTCATTTGTATCACCATCGTGTTCTACTTGATAGCTCAAGAAATCTGAAAAAACGTTACATAGTTCTAAAGTAAAAACAATCTTTATTCAAATATGTAGTTCATTTTAAAACATCCTTTGAGTGGGTAGATTCAATAATAACTCATCAATCGGCTGAAGAAATGTTTTAATTTGGATGGTGACTTCCTCATACGTATGTTAGTTTTCATTGTGACTACTATGAAAAAAAATGGATAAATACGACCCTTGTTGAGTTCCTTACCGGTTTTTCTCACTACAAGGTCTCGTATATAGATTTGGAACCAACAATGTTGCAACAGTTATAATTTTACTACCTACTGTTACATTATCGAAACTAGAAATCGATACTATAGCTTAACTTTCTATTTTAAGCAACACTATTAATATTTATTGAGATCTTTTTAAATTTCTTATTCGAATATTTATATTTATTTAATCTAAATAAACGCACGGGAACAGCAAAGAGCATAATCAGGTTAAACTGTAGAAACACCTTAACAACTACACACACCAATACACAGAAGTTTAATTGTTGAACTTTAATTTAAGCCAATCGTACAAACGTTCTTTTACGCACGAGCCATATGAATTAATCCGATAATAATTATTAATACTGTACAAATACCATCTGTAGTTTCTGTGCAGGCATCGGTGACGTCGGCGTTGGGGCATCGGTTTTGATCGTATGCGCTCTGACGCTTTTTACGAACGGATACCGCGATATTCCCCGAGTTCTCTTGATACTCTTGCAGTTTTGCCTTTATATAAATGACAATAAATTAAATTCATGAATAACTTAAAAATAATATCTACTATTTTCTAACTATACTAGTGGACAATAAAATAAGCCAGTATGTGACTTGACTGCGTTTCAAATTTTATATTTAACATTTTTTGTTTGTTTAATAGTTATTAAATTAATTAATTTTTAAATAACCACTTTTTTAGTAGTACATAAAAAATGATAAAAATAGATGTCGCCTAATTTTTTTGTCCACTCTTATATACTCATGCTTCGTCCTTCTCTTATTTTTCTTATTATTATTTCGTCTTATTTGTCTTTTTCTAATTCAAGCACAGATGCTACATAATATTGTAAAATTGTGTACAAAAATATTATTTTTGTACCCAATTATTAAATTTAAGAGAATAAGAAAAGCGAGGTCAGCTATAGTCACATATTTACAAGTCGGAGAGAAAATCTATAAAGAGAAAATCCTAATAATGGAAAAGATAGAGTCACGGAAATATGCTAAAGAATATGTTTCTTCAAGCAACGGCTGACAAGAGTTTTTTTTAATCTTGCAGTTTTGAATGATATTAAACAAAATAGTTAACAATTTCTATAATAAAAGCATGTATAAATGATTACCTCGAGTGCTCCCTTCGCTTCTTTCAGATTGCGACAGTGTTCATCACGTTCGCGTAGGTACTGGGCACATTTGTCATATTGTACATCAAGCGCCTTGTATTTCTCTCTCAACTCTTTGAGCTCTTGTTTGCATATTCGAAGTTCAGATTTAGTGGCTTCGAGTTCTTTGCTGTTAAAAATTAAATGAATAATATCAGAATCAGAAGGATATCTTTGATTGCTTTCATATGGAAGGCCTCCAGCAGACTTATTTGATTCATTAGTTAAGGTGAAGCTTAATTAAATTAATATTCTGTTTTTAGTTGCTTACGTGTGATCTCGCGCCGCATTCTTTTCCAATGTCTTCTGCATTTTAGCAAGAATATTCTTGAGATCCTGTTTCTTGTATCTCAACTCTTCTATGGTTTTGGTCAATCTCTTGTTTTTCTCAACTTCCGCATCATAGGACATTCGGTCGACGACCACCGAGTGAAGATTGGCCCAGTCTAATAATGAATCAATTATTAAATGAATGATTTTATGTAAATCGTCGATAAACAACAATGAGACTTAAGATAAACTTCGAAAAACGCCTCATTCAATAATATTAAGACATAAAGTCACTTCCCGCTGTTTGTAAGCCGAGATCTTTTAAAGTACACAACATATTTTAATGAGGTTTTTATTAATATATAAAGCGATTGAAAAGGAAAGTCTATAATACAAGATAATATTTGAGTAGGTATAGAAATAATCTTTGCTCAACTCGATCAATAGACAAGAAGGACACATACATTAAGACTACAGTTAAATTTTAAACTCTACATACAGAAGTATTGACATTTCGTGACTTTGCTATGAAAGTGACCAACATTTAAGGCCGTTGCTGTATATTTAAAAAGATAACTTATTCAATAAACTTTAAGCATATTTACTGCCGAATGTATTTTTGCTACAACATACCTTCGTCAGTGTTAACAGAAGCGTCTGCATAAACTCGTTTACGTTCTTGTTGATTTCTATTTGTATTAACTGACTGGAGTTTTTCTTGCAATTCGGAGATTATATTCTGCAAGCAAAGAATCGCAAAGTGTTTGTAATGTATAGTAAAAAAGTATATCAGGTTATCCAAAAAGACCAAATCCATATAAAACCATAACGAAAAAAAATTACTGTTAGAGTTGCTTTCTCCTTCTTGAGTTGTTTGCACTGCTCTTCTCTTTCTCGGAGATACTGTGAGCATATCTCGCACTCTTCATCTACTTCTCGGAAGCGCTCTTTTAATTCTTCCAACTCTTGTTGACAAGAAGATAGTTGATCTCGAAGTTGAATCACCTCACTTAAAAATATTCGAACTTACAATGGTGAAGAAGAAATTATGTTTTTGTAAAATAGTTCTTATTCCGTATATTATTAAGATGAAAATTAATTAATAAAGACCGAATGAGTCAGTTACCTTTGTATGTTATTATTATCTATATCTGATATCTTCAAATCAGTGGAATTGAGTTCTCTGCTTGCCGGTCGTTCTGTAAAATAAATGTTTTTATTTTTCACACACTTATTTTTTTACACAAGTTAATAATTCATGACGACCTCCGTAGCCGAGTGGTATGCACGGCGGTGTCGCCTTGTTGTTTCAAGGTGTTGCCATCTCTGAGGTCCTTTATGATTTGATTCACGGTCGCATCAAATGAACTTCTATATTGACTCGGGTGTGAGTGTTGTGGTACCTTCGTTATCTCAGATATTCCATAATACGGGGGCTTTAAACGGTTGACAACTCTAAAGTACAGCCAACTAGCAGCGACACGAAAGGTCATTAACCCGAACAACTACTGCAGAGTTGGAATCTATTATCTATCTCTTTTCATCTTGTGTATTTGTCGCAATCCCTTCTCCCGGTAAAAAACGTGCCAACATTCAGACGACCATTTTAAATAATGGTGATTTGATCATTTTCATTTTTGTCCTCACTGTCATAAATATTATTATTATTCTCGATATTAAATCACATTCTTGATAACTACATTAATGAAATAATTCAAACTATAATTAATAAAAAATAGCAGGAGCTACAAGTTAAGTCAACAGACTTGATACACCTCCCTGCCATGCATATTATTCGAATTTCAACTCATTATATTTTTATTGATAGATTCTTAGAATAACAATCAAATAAAGTAACTTAATGCCATTTATTATTTTAAATATTATTGTCTGCTAATAAAATACATAGTTTTCAAAAAGTAACGCACCCCTCCAATTCCTAATGACATTGCATTGGTTTTGTTCACATTTGTTAACGCTTCTCGTTGGCAGTAGTACTTTAGTATATTATTATGGATAAATATCTGACCGTGGGGTGTAGGAGTACGTTGCACTCCTGCGCGATGCAGATCGTGAGTGCTCTGTCGTCGACGACGCGTGGCCGCCACGCTGCTGGGACGTGATGGAGGATCGTCATCTTTTTCTTCCTAACATAGAAATGAAAATATTATATTGGATTCACAATGATATACTGGAAAATATTCTTAAAGAAAAATACTTAAAAATTCTGAGACAGTAGGATTCGAACTCACGATCTTTTAGCAAAAAGAGCAATCGCCAGGATTGTGACAATCCGCGGATTCGAATCCCATCTCAGAGTACCAAGGATAAAGTGGATTTTTTTAGCATTTTTTTTTATCCGAGATGGGCTTCATCTTGACCTCAGGTGTAATAATATTAAGCGTAAGGCCTAATATGGGACGAGTTTGCCCAGAAAATACCTATTCACTCGTGCTTTAAATATTCCTGGGTTATAGGATACCGGGAAAACAGAGGCAGGTTCATTAATATAGAAACTTAATATTATATTATATTTTTCTTCAAGTCAACATTAAATAAAGGATATGCATGGGGTAGAAATTCCCTTCGGTGTTATTGTAAAACATTAGTACCAGACCCTCAATTCAGCTATTTTTTTAATGAATAAACATATCTCTCAATACAATCTCAACTACTTGCATTTTCCCATTGTACCATATAAAACGTAGTTGTTCTGTTTCTTCCAAAATTGCTAATTACACATTAAATTTGGTTATTTCATAAATTACCATGAATTACGTAAAATAATTAATAATGAGAATTATTACATACCGGTTCGTGGCGTGATGTGAAACTATCGCGCCTGAAAGAGAAGAGAATCACGGTTGAGTAAAACAATCATTTTAAGATCAAATAAAGATTACATAGCAATAGTTGATGATTGATGACTAGTGGTAGCAACATTGTCACACAAAGTTATAAGTAATTACTTAAAAAAAGAAGTAACATTTGTTTTTTATGTAAGCGAACACTACTTAATCGGTCAGTTGCACAAACGTCCATTAAAGGTTTAAAGACACCTTTAACTCTAATGAATGTCAAATTTGTGTAGGTGATGATAATTTTAATGGGCGTTTGTGCAACTAACTGAAAGTGACACAGGTATCTATATAAAAATATTTGCGTCGTCTCTTTACAATCTCGAACTTTATTGTAGAATATTAATTACCCCCGACTAGACCTATGTGGCGTGCTCCTATTAGAGCTGTCTTCGTCAACATCCATAAAGAAGTCAGTTGGTTTTGTGCGGGACTCGAATACAGCTTCAATTTTATTATGATCTGAAATAAATCATAAACATTTGTTAATAATAATAATAAAGCTTTAATGTCCAGTTATATAACACTTTATTTTAATCTTCATTTTTGTCCTTTAAAATAGATTTTGTATAATAATTGATATGTGATGGGAACAAGTTGAAAATTGTTGATAGTCATACAGTTTGGTGTTAAACTTTACGATATGACTCCAGTTATACAAGACTTTATTTTAAACCTTCATTTTTTGTGCTCTAAAACTGATTTTGTATAGTTGTGATGGGAATATTGAGAGGTTGATAGTTATACAGTAGTGTATTAAGCCCTACGGTATGACTAATACTACGGACAATAACAAAATGTGGAAGAATTAATTAAAATACACCCTCGACGAATACTTAGACAAACGTGTCGACCCGCTATATATTACATAGAAATACCAAGCCAACCCTCTGTTTACAAATCACGAAATTCTTGTGACGTACTTTATAGATGATTTGTAACATAGTTCATATGTGCTTACCGCCGCTATCTTCCACGATGGTTCGTTTAGAATCGTGAATGCTTTGTCGTCGTCGCCGCGTCGAGTCCGGCTCTAATGAGGCTCGCGGCTTGTTAATGTTCGCCAAGTCCATTTCCATTTCAGAAACACGCATCTGTTCAGTAAAGAACTTAGTATAAAAGCTGTTTAAATGAGTATTCTACTCTGTCTGAAAATAGTTATTTAAGATACGAGTGCGGAAAGTAAGGTTTTACGAATAAGGGCCAAATTGAAAACACGAGCTTAGCGAGGGTTTTCATTGGCACGAATTCGAAAAACCTTTTACGCTCAAGTTTCTTACAACATTTTTCAACGCTTTTTGCGAGAAAATAAAACAAATATAAAGGGTTAATAAAACTAAGTATGTATTAAAGGTAAAAATTATTTGTTAAAATTAAACGTGATATTTGAACATGTTTTCGAGTCATACATTTTTATTTGAAAATATTCGTGCTAGGCTCCTTGAAATACTTTTGCCTCTAAAGTTTGACATATTTTCATATTTTTTTTTAAATTTCATTGGTGCTCGGCCAAAAAAAAAAAAAAAATACTTTTAAGCACGTGTGCAGTAAAGGATTTCAGTACATTTTTATTTAACACGTGTTTAAAGACTCACTTTCGGTGTTTACTATGGATTAAAAAAATACCGCTTTATGAGCAACTGCATTGAAAAAATATTTTGTTTGCTATTAAAAAAAAAAACACACACACACAAAAAATAAACACTTTAGTACATTTGATCAATTCTGCATTCACATTGCTATACTGGAAAATATTCTTAATGTAAAATGTTTAAAAAATCCACTTTGTCCCTGGTACTGCGATATGGGATTCGAACCCACCACCTTTTGCAATCCGGGCGACTGCTTTACCTACTGACCTGCCCAGTACTTAACAGGAGTGACGAACTCTTCAAGAAATTGTTATTTATTCGCTATTACAGAACGTATTATCATCAATGTTCAGGCAATCTACCCAAAAAGGCGAAAGAAATACCAATTCATTCACAATAATTCAATAAATTTTAGAATAAAATCAGTACCTAATGCGTTATATATTACACCGTATGGTTATAAAAACACAACTGATTACAAATTTTAATTATATGTTCGGTCAAAATTGAAATTCACTCTATGTCTACTCTGGACAAACAAAAGTCACCATTGTAAGTTGAATTTTACTATACTAAAGTGGTCAAAAATATATTACCTCAAGATTTTCCTTAGTGTTTTTCAGGTTATCTATTTCTTTTCGCGATTCAACAATATTGTTCTTCAATACTTCACATTCCTTTTGTAGGTTGGCATACCGTTGTGTCAGTTCTTCAATATGTTTATTTTTATCACTGATTGTGTTATCATCGTCGCCTTTTTGCTTCTGAAGTCTGTGGAAGAAACATAGTAAGTTCTTTCTGATTTTCATATATAGATATAAAATGAGGTTCAACAATAATGTTACCTTATGATCATTTTACTTTGTATTTCTGCAGTCTTTTCATGCGTTTTGATGTTCATTTCTAAACGAGAACAATCCTTACATTTTCCATCAAGTTCTGCTTTAAGCTCAAGATTTTGCTGTAATAAAGACTTGGCTTCCAGCTTTAAATTATCTATAACAAATGAATTTTCTTTCACAGACTCTCTTAGTACTAATATATCAGATGTCATATTGTCCAATTCCTTATTATTAACCTTAATTGTTTCTTTACATTTTTCCAACTCTGAAGCATATGATTCCTTTTCTCTACTTATGACAGCATTTATGGTTTTTAGATCATCAATTTCCTGTTTAAGGTTTATGGTTTTGTTCATGATTCCGATTATTTCCATTTCTTTTTCTGTTTTGAGCTTACTGATGACGTTTTCTTTTTCTGTTAATGACTCTTTCATAAGTTTCAAGTCTTGAGTAATTTGATTTAGTTTTAGAATATTAGCTTCGTTTTCTTTCACTTTACTTTCATACATTCTTTTTATATCTTCGTTTGATGATTTAAGTGACTGTAGTTCAGTTTCTACATTAACTAAATTTAAACTAACAGACTTGTTTACTTCTTTTAATTTGTAATTATCTGTTTCTAAATCATTTAATGTTTTTTTAATTCCTTCTAATTCTGTTTTATATTTACTTAGTTCCAAGACTAAGTTTTCTTTATCTTTTTCTGCTTCAGAAGAAGTAGGTTTATAATCCATTATAATCATTTCAAATAATAAATCGACTATCTTATTTAATGGTAATGTTGTATCAATGTTGCTAGAAATAATCTTATGATCCACAAGTTTATTGCAGCCAATTGCAATTATTTCACAAAGCTCTTTCTCTTTCTTGATGATATCTAGAGTTACAGCATTACTGATCTCATATATTCTTTCTTTTTGAGCCTTTAGTATATTGTATTCATTTTCTTTGGCAGATAGCTGGCATTTCATTTGACATAGATTGTCATTAACAGTGTTTAATTCTAAAGAAAGCCTTTCCATATGTTTTTGTAATTTTGTGTATTGTTCTGTAATACTACTTAGGTCATTGTGATGCTTAGTTACTACAGATTCAATAATTTTATCAAAAACGGTAGCAGACGACAAGTTAAACTGATTATCTAAAATAACTAAAAGTTTTTCTTTAAATATAGTGACAAGTTTTGAGTTCTTATTTTCAATATTATTAGACATTTCATCAGCTATTAATGTGATATTCTTCTTTATTTGTGACATTACATTTATCACTTCTTTGAAGTTATTTTCTTTTTCTTCAAGTAACACTTTGATTTTTGAATATTCTCTAGTGATGTCTTCCACATTTTTTTCTAATTGATTTTTCGATTCCTCATAACATTTAATCTTATTAATAAAATTTTCAACCTTATTACGTTCAGTCATAAAGTATTCATAGAACATTTTCATTATATCTATCATTTTAATATTAAAATTGAGATTGTCTTTGCTAGAACCCGTTTTTTCTATGTAATAATTGATGCAGTCTGTTTTATCTAGTGTGTAAGGATCACATTCGTGTTCTTGTTGATTTGATACAATTAACTTATTGAGTGGAGGATCATCTGATTCATGTTGCTTTGAGTAATTATTAGATACAGCCACACTATCATCCAAGTCCATATTCTGACCTATAGACAAGTCGTTACTACGTTCTAACTGACTTTTGATAGTAGCGACCTCTTTAGTTAATTCTTTGCAGTCTTCTCTACCTGCGTGTAACTCATGCTGTAAGGTGCAGATTTTATTGTACCTAGACGAGGTTTCCGAATCACTAAAGCTTCTATTCAGTTTTGAGTGCGAGTCTATGTTTTGTAACGTTTTGATTACTTGGTTTTTTATAGTGCATTGCACACAGTCCGAATTTCCGTCCCCTTTTAGTAAAATTTCTACTTGTGAGCATTTTTCTGTTAATTTTGTGTTTTCTTCTTTGACGCATTCCAGTTCTTTGCTCAACTCGTCGCTTTCTGTTATGACCTCCATTAGCTGTGTGGATAATGACTCATTTTCTTGTTGAAGCTGCTTAATTTCTGTATGTTTAACATTTATAGAAATTGACAGCTTTTGAATTTCTTCAGATTTATTTTTAACATCTCTTTCGAATGCATTCAATTTACGAATTAGACCTTCAGTAGAAGGAATTTCTAAACTAAGGCTATTATATTTTTCTTCAAAGTCTCTTTTCAGGGACTTGGTAATGTTTAAGTCTTGCGATAAAATTTCAAGTTTTTCTTCCAAGCTTTTTTGTTTCTCTATATTATCATAGCATTTAGTGCACTCATTAAGTATATTGTCTGTTTTAATGGGGCTGGTTTGGACATTTGCTTTAGGTACGGATAAAGAAGAGTATTGCTGTATTTGAGTGTTTAATGCCTCTTTTTCTTGTTCCAAAATATATATCCTTTCCATAATTATTCTATTTTCATCTGACAATTTGTCTATTAGTGATAAGTTGTAATCCTCAGTAGATATACCCGCATTTGTCGATTCTATGGTTTGACATGCAACATCATTAGTTGCATTTATGTGAGTAATATCTAAACAGGTTTGATCAATACCCAACAGAGTATCCGTTGATGTTGCTAAGGTCACGTTAGTATCTAACATTAATAAATCACCATCTAAAGTGGATTCGTTTTTTAGATTGTTAAGAGTGGAATTATTGTCAAATACACTTGGCAAAGAAAATCTTTTGAAACTGGAATTTTTATCAATATATGAGTTGTCAGATTTTAATATTGCCATTAGTTCATACAATTGCTTTTTAACAATAGGTAGATCCCTTTGACACACACTATGAAATCGGTTGTGGTGGTGTTGTAAAGCAGTTACTTGGGATTTCAACGATTTATTTTCAGCATAAGTTGTAGCAGTGAGAGTAGACAAATTAGTTTTGTGACTGTTGATTTTTTTTTGTAGTTCATAGGCAGGTTCTAAAAGGAGCTGAACTTCTTGACGAACTATTTCTTGCTCTTGAATCAAATATTTAATGTGTGACTCCTGTTCCTGGATGATTTGTGATAATTTGTTATTTTCGGTTTGAGCTTGTTTTAATTCACTAAATATTTGACCGCAGGTACAAGTCTTTGTTCCTTGTTCTTTAAATGGAACACTCATACATGAATTTGATGTAGAAATAGAATTTTCAGATGGCTGTATAGTATCTAAAATGGTATTGCAACATATAGTAAGTAGACTAGGTGGTGATTTGTTTTCTATAACATTGATTTGTGATGCTACATCACATTGTGATAATGTTATAGTTTGACTGTTAATATCATAAATATCATCATTGAATGATTTGGAGTTCTCCGTAAAGTTTCTGACTGATTCCAATTTAGAACACTTCATTTTGAGATTTTCATTACATGCCATAAGTTCTTTTATTTCGTCCTGCATTATATGATCTAATCCTGTAAAGTGCTTTTTTAAATCTTCTGTTTTCGTAACCATTATCTCCATATCTGTTGATTTTTCTTTTAAATCAATCCGAAGGAGCTCTAATGTTTTATTTACTTCAGTTAAATCTATATTTAAACTTTTATTATGTAATTTGATTTCATCAAGTTCTAAACATAATATGTTGTTTGTGTTTTCTGTTTTTGTCAGCTTTTCAAGTAGACTCTCATTTTCTCTAGTCAAATGTTCAATTTCTTTTCTTGCTTGAGACAGACAGTCTTCAAGATTTTCTTCATGTTTTTTGTATTTAATTTTCTTTATGTTATGAGTTATATCTTCTAACCTTTGAACAATACTACTGTAAGATATTAAGTCATCATTACAGGCGATATTGCTCTCAATATTTAATAACCCAGCTAAAATAGAAGTCTGTTCAAAAACATAGTTTAATTGTAATCTTTCATTCTCTTCACTTTCATTGAGTTTTTTAGATATATTGTTTACCTTATATTCTAAATCTTTCTTAATTGTTTTCAAGCTTTGAGTCAATTCATATATTTGATTATCCTTTTCCTCTATAATTTTGGCCTTCAAATCTAAAGCAGAGTCATTTTGTTGTATTTGAAGATTCTTTGATGTTTGTATTTCAAGAATGTCATTGCTAAGTTTTTGATTGTTTTCTTTAGTATAATTCAGGATGGAATTTAAATTGTCGTATTCGTAACATTTGATTTCCAGTTGATGATTTATTTGTCTATGTTGCTCGGTCATATCTTCAATAATATTTTTATGTCGCTCCAGGTCCTCTGTTATCTGTAACATTTTTGTTCGCAGGTCACTTAATTCATTCATTACTTTGGAATTTGATAGTTCAAGGTCTCTATTTAGTTTTAAATAGTTTTGTATTGTAAACTCTTTTGAAGACAATTCTTCAAAAACTTTAGATTCAAAAGTCATCCATTTATTTTCTAAAATACTGAAAACGTCGGCTTCGTGTTCCTTACTATAGTCAGTGGAATCTTTATATTGACAATCCAGTCTTACCAAGCTATTATGTATTGAGTGTAATATAGCTTTTACTTTTTTATTTTGTTCTTCTTTGTTAAGTGAATTAATATCATTTTTTAAATTATTGACATTTAAATTAACTTTCTCAAGAGTGTCACTAAGTTCCTCATTTTTTTTAGTAAGCATTTCTATTAATATATCTTTTTCAGCAACTGTAGCTGTAAGTTTTCTGTTGCATTCTTCTATAGAGATTAAATTTAACTTAATGTCGTTATTTATTTTTTCTAATTTATTGTTTTGTTCATTTATATCTGATATCTGGCAAGTAAGTTGGTGTTCCATATTAGTTAGATTGCTTTTATCTTGCGTTAGTTTTTCAATAAGAGCTATATTAATATTTATTTGTTCTTCCAGTGATTTCAATTTATTATTAAGATTGTGGTTTTCTTTATCTTTAACTGTGAGCTGGTCTTTTAAATCGGTTTCAATACAAGATAGATTAGTGAGAGTCAATTTAAATGATTCGATTTCTTTGTTTCGTGAATCTAGGGCAACTTTAAAACAATGAATGATATTCTTCATGTTATCATGATTGGCAATAAATTTTTCTTCAATAGCTATCATATTTTCAATCGTGTCTTCGTTAATATTTAAGTTAAGAATCTTTTCCTTGTTTGTTAATTTAATTTGAAGTTCTTGTATTACACTATTATAAGATTCTATATCATTGTGAGCTGACTCTAAACTTGACTTTTGACTAGTTATTGTAGAGTTTAAGGTGGTTATTGTAGATTGGAGCAAGGAATTTTCGTTTTCTAATAGAGTTACTCTCTCATTAAAAGTGTCGACTGTAGATTGGAGGTGACGAATAGAGTTTTCTAAAGACGATATTGTTTGTTGATGAGAGATTAGATCTGCTTCTAATTGGGCAACTACTTCATTCTTAGACCTTAATTGGTTTTGCATATCTGTTACCAAATCTTGCAATTGAGAGCAAGACTCATCATCATTTGTATTCACGATACTGTTTTCATTGTCGCTGTTTACTAAAGATATATCCTTAGACATATCCATAAAGCAGAGTTCCTTTTCCACACTTTTTGGTAATGGTCTACCTAAGTAAAAGACAAAAAACACTATTAAAACATATATATTGATAAATAAATGTAAAACTTAGAAAACAGTCGGCACTTACTTATGTCGTGATCTTGTCTATGGACTGTTATAAGTTTTTGTTCTTCTAAGAGTGATAATAATTCTTCTTCTCTTCTCGCAGCCTTATCCCTTAATGTCTCGTAAGTAACTTCCCAGTCGGTTAATTTTGTTGTATATTCTTTGCAAAGAGCTTCTAATTCAGCCTATTTAACATATCATTACTAACTTTGGTGGAATTTGCTGTTATTTTCTTGTTCAATGTAGTACATATAATTGTAATATATGTTAGTCTGCTCAATTTTTTATTACATTCAACAATTTGAATTAAAATTTAACACAAAAAAGCGTAGGTACATACCTTAGTAGTAGATACAGTTTTAATCTCTTCATTTGATTTGCTAACTTTGACTCGCAATTGATCAATTTCCAAATCTTTGTCTTTACTTTTTTTATGAAGTGAATTCACTTCATCTTGTAAACTAGTTATCACAGATGCGTTTTGTTCTAATTTTTCTATTAATTCAACCTGAAAAAGATAATTTTCTAATATGCATACTTATTTCGATAATACGAGTAATATAATGCTATTTCACTACAAAGATACAGACCACACTTGGTGTATATATTTTTTCTCTTTCAGTCAGTTCTACAATGTCTTTTAGATTTTTCTCAGCTAACTTAGCATTTTTTCTAAGAACACATGGAGGTGTCTTTGATGCACCTGAAAATGATTTAAACATTTAGTATATATATTAATTAGAGAAAGGGTAGGAAGAACTGAATCTTTGTTTGCATTTAATATATCCGAAACTAGTAAACTGATTTAAAAACATCTTTCAACTACAGGTAGCCACGTCATACGGGGTTGACATATGCTATAATTCTAATGCTAAATTTATTACAAATATACTAACAATAACAGAGTCAAAGAGTCATATCGTAAAGATAATAGATATTCATATCGCTAACAATTAAAATATACGATTTGTTTTAGTTCAAGAATCATGTCCACTTTCCGTAAATCAATTGACCTGTTACATGTTTTTCTAAAGGTCGTATTTACCCACCATTGGTGATAATTTAAATTAGTTTTTTCTCAAAATATAATAATATCTTAGCATCTTTAGATGCGAATGTCAAGAAGATTCGTAATTTGTAAATAATGTTTCGAGGTTATAACAGCTGTCAAAACTCGAGATAATTGTGAAGCTACTTTAAAAATTAATACATTATAATCAAAGCTTTTTATAGTTTGACTTCTATGGAAATAAATAGAAATGTAATTGTCAATGTGCACTTTTTTACCCTTTAACGAAATAATATTTTTCCATAGTAGATGAAAAGGAAACATGGCAAACTGTCATTTTAGGGTCCGAATCGCATTCGAGTAGTATTCATAGTATTATTTAAATATAGTTTTCAGCCTCTCAATTTTTATCTTGATTTTATTTTAAGATTTAATTTCTTGATATGAAATAAGTAAAATATTAACTAGATATATCACATCACTAGTTATCAAATTAGTAATTTTTTAGTTCAAAATTGAACATGATTCTTTGGAAGTATAGTCTAATAGCAGTGTGGTGTGCTTGTCTAGTGAGTAGTAAAAAGAATATTACCATAACATTTATGATAAGGGGAGCAAGTCTGTACATCCATAGGGTTGTTATCATCATCACTATCTGTAATATGAAAATAATAAATTATACTATCTTACAATGTCGTACAATTAAAAATGAACTTAAAATTAAACATTAAAGATGTCGACATCTTTAACGGATCAATAAAATAACAAATACCTAGTTCTATGATTTCTTCATTAAAATTGACTTTTTTATTTGTCGGTGGGGGTGTTACAAGTTTGTTGTCATTTTCCTCTGACACACGTGTTAGTTTTTTTGTGTTTTGTATCGGCACAAAATCTGTAGTATTCGAAAGCAGCATTGGACTGAAAATAAACATATTTTTTTCAGTTAAAACGTAATACATTTTTATTGGTAAAACATCAACAAGCTCGCAGGGCTAGCTAATATCATAATCATTTTTTTTTTGCCTTAAAAATCCGTTATTATTATACTACTAAAAAATATTTCATCATCTACGGGGAAAAAGGTTTTTTTTTAAATGTTGTGTCTGTCACCAACGACAAAGAAAGCGACGATCTCGGCGATTCGACACACGGCATAAACAATTTAATCGCAATTTAAAAGCCCATCATAATTTTGTTTCTATTTACTCCCACCTTAAAGCTCGCAAACAAACTACCCCATATACAATATTGTGTCATTTAGCCCCCTTGTATAACAATCTTCTATTTTGTTTATATGATATCAGCTATCTAGTCCTGGAAGGTTACAAGTAATCCTGCATGCATGTAAAGTGTGAAACGATTTTTTTTGTATTATTTTTTGTATTAATCTAATCATTATATAGTATTATGTCAATATCTAATTCTTGAGCAAAAACAATGTGGTTCATACTTGTATTTAAGCAAAGGTGTATGAAACTTAGGCAGCGTCGGAGCTTGATCTTCTTCTATGGGATGTAAAGTGGAGATAGTGATGCGGCGTGGCGGGACCAACTTTCGGCGACTTCCCAGCATGTCCAAACTGCTTCTGGTACCAAATCCGTTTAATATAAGCCGTTGCAATGCTGCAATTTGCTTTTGAAGATTGTAGTTATCTTGCTGAAATAGAAGCAACCAATTTGTGTGAATTTAATGTTAGCTAACCTTTCAGTCATAAATTTATTGTATAGTATCTAATTGTAAATAAATAGGATTGTTTTATGTATTCTACTAATATTATAATCGGTCAATTACGCCGGACAGACAAATCAAATGTTTGCCCGTCAATCACGTCGAAACTACTGAACGGATTTTGATGAAAACTGGTATACAGATAGGGTATTAGCTGATTTAGTTAATAGGATACTTTTTATAACACAAAATATTTCCTAAGGCACCACGCGAGCGAAGCCGCTGGCGAATCTTTAATAAAATCTCCGCTCCATAGACCACTTGGGATACTTTCAAGAACCATCAGTGGTCTGCGGACCACTGTTTAAGAACTGCTACTGATTTGTTTTAATGAGTAATGTCTCGCCTACAGGATAACGAGACACGTAGTATGTGGCGAAGAAGTGAAATACGCACACGACAGTTATTAAAATAGGGATTTGAATTATAGTGAATAGTGGTGTTTATTTTGTATTGGAAAATTAATTGATGATACGAAATAGGAATGAAGTTAAATAAAATACAATGTATTGCTTTTTATATGCTAGATTTATCATTATTCTTCTACCGGTACTGATACTGGGTGGACTTGAAAAAAAAACATTGATGTTTATAGAAATGTGACGTCACGTCACACTATGTTCTGTCATGGCCGCTCGCGTTTCGGTTCGTGTATTCCAGAGATTATAGAACGCAAGTTAATTTACAAAAATAAAAGATCCTCATAATTTATCTTAAAACAAAAAATACTACATAGTTACTGTTTACACAGAAGTTATCATTTACAATGTATTTTAAATTATTTTTGTGTTATATAGTTAATTTATTCAGAAAGGCCAACTTTAAGTTAACATTTTCTTCTTATTGCTTTTTCTTGTGGTTTTAAAGAGGTTATGGTTTTTTTTTAATGTGAATAATTTTGCTTAGTGATGTTATGACTAGACTTAGCAGAATATAAGTGCAGCAGGCTCTGCCTGTTGATATGCCGAGTTGAGTCCATAGAATTCGTTTTCTTTATCTACATTATTGTCGTTGTGTATGTTATGTGGTTACAACAATAAATCTTTCTCACTTTCAATATAATATCACGCTAATAGGACTCGAGTAGCAATGAAAACTGTTGCAAAAACGGGAAAATATATATTTTTACACTTCTTTGCGTAATCTCCGTAAGCGGTGCAAGTTACGCAAGTATTACAAAAATGTTCCTTTTTAAAATCAGAATGATTGCTGAAAACAGCATAGCTACCACGTACCTTGTTATTATCGAGTTCCCGAAAAGTTCTAGGAAAAGTCCGCGACATCATATGGTTATCTCTTAAGGTACACTATAACTATTTTTTTTATGGGAATTAAATTTGTTCTAAATAAAGTTAAAGCATGCGCGAAGCCGTAAGCGGAAATCTAGTTTACAAATTTTTGTGATTATGATGCCAGGTTTGGAAATCTGATACAATTTTGATATTTTAATTATTATATATAGTAAAAGGAAACTGAACAATCTTACCTCAACATTCTTCTTGCTTTCCAACATCACTTCCAGATTCTTTTTACTTTCCAGTTGTGATTGTAACTTCGACAGTTGTTTTGTTAAACTCTGTATCATAGTGGCGTCCGTCGCTACCGCGTTAACTTCAGGTTTGTTCTTGATAGCTTTAGCTCTATTGGCAAATCTGAAAAGTAACTTTAATAGTATTACAGTGACTTAAAATATTATACTCATACTAAGTAAATATTACTTGTGTACAAAGATAGGAGAATATAAATATAGTTTCTATCATGAAAATCAAACATGTCCAATAATGAGCTAAATTGATTGCAGACTTTTGCAGTTGGAGTTCATCCATAAATTACGTCACACGATTTTCATGACTTTTTTGCCCCTCCCCCGACCTAGTCACAGCTGGTCACATTTGTAAGACTCCCCCCTCCTAGCGTGATGTCACATTTTGCAAGGTTTTTGTAAAGTAATAGTTTAAATTTCGTGTCTTTAAACTTAGATTATAATAGATTTTGAAGTGTGATGTCACGAAATTTAGGACCCTCCTACCCCCTTGTCACATAATGTCACACTTTGTCGACCCCCTCCCTCCCCCTTAACGTGTGACGTAATTTATGGATGGCCCCTTGTGTGTTTGTTGCAATAACTTCATAATATTGTAAAAAGGCCGTGATTATATAAATGTAAACTCACTGTAGTGTTGAGATTGTTTCCTCCACAGCAGCAGGTGTTATGGCACAGATAATGCTAGTCTTGGCATTTCCTCCGAGGGAGTTTTGCAATATTCGTGTCAATTTACTGTCACGGTAATTTACATGGCTGCAGAATAATAACGTATCACTTAACTTGAGATACACAGGTACGCCAATAATTAATAAAAACATATACACATTTTTTCATTAGTGGAAAATTTATATTTTACCTTTAAGTGCCCTATTACAAATTCAAACTCGCTACGAGGCCATACAAACTGAGCTATGAGGGCCGGTGCATAGAATTTTGTCGTAATTTTGCAGTTATATTTATTGCTTTTATTAAAATAGTAGTTTTTTGGCTAATAATGAGATTATCTTTCTATATTTAATAAATGTTATTTCAAAATTTCAGGGCTAGTACGAACTATACGACTATATAAGATATAATATTCTATTATGTCCTTTGTGTAAACCAGTAGCTCTAAAATGGGTTATAGCGTATTATATGAATATCCTTCTTTCTAATAGTTTTGTCTAATGCCAATAGTTTTTCTGAACTATTCAATAATCCAATATTATTAATATATTTTTGATTCTGAGATCATGAACGTTAAAAATGAGAATATTATGCCAAAATCACAATAAAACTAAAATCAATATAAAAAAAATATAAAAATAAATAAATGACCACAAAACACTGTTAGTGTGTTTTTTATATTTTACTAAGTGAAGATTTGATTTACTATTCTAAATTTTCCATTTATGTGTTATACTTTCGTATTTAATAATATAAAGTAGCAATGTGCACTTTATACATATAATTAATACAGTTTCAATTTTTTAATATTGATATGAACAGTCTATAGTTACTTAAACACGTCATGTAGTATAAATCTTAATAATACTAATAACATATATTTTAATTTTACAGTGTAATTAATAAACAAGGTCTAGCGTTAGAGTAAATTTATGCTGAGACTATAATTAGTATTAAGTCTAAATTCATATTATTAAACTGACTTAGCAAAGGTGAACCTAGTATGAGGTTCTATGGGAGTAATATTTTCTCCTTGAAGATGGTAGGTTTGTTTATTCTCTGTATGAATTAAAACTAGTGTTGCCAGGTGTCCCGATTTACGCGGGACGTCCCGATTTGCAGCTGATTTGATTATGTACATAAAGTTGATGATTTTTTAAATACGCCTGCAAAAGAATAGCGAGTTAAGTACCTACTTTGAATTGGTTTAACTAAACAGAATTTAAGGTAACTCGATATTTACTTACCTACTTACTTTATAAATTTAAAGCAGTATAGCTATTGTAATAGTAGGTATCTAATAGGATTTATGCAATTTGACGGTCCTAAGCCCGTAAAAGTATGAAGAGGTTTCAATTTTATTTATCATTTCCCCAAGCATGACAAAACGAAAACATTTTAGGTAGCTGCTATTATTACTATCAATGAATTGCGGCAAGGGAGGGAGGGGCGTAAAGCGCATGTACTGGGCAGCGAGAGCGTCCACAAATGTAGGTTTTTTGAAAATAACTTGGTAACGATATAACTCAACATTTTTGTTCTAAACGACATAAAAAGAAAAACACGTATTTCATTATTTGTCGTAAAGATTAACATACTCAAATTTGGAGAGTGGTTTTAATTGCTTGCTGTATTTATCTATGTCTGAAAGCAAAAAAGCTACCAAACTAGTACTAATACTTGTTTTTTTGTCTGTCCCGATTTACAACCCCAAATCCCGATTAATTACACGCGCTGTCCCGATTAATAAATTGGACCTGGCAACACTAATTAAGACTAATACTAAAATTAAAATTTTAGCGTAAATCTACTCTGGGGCTAAACCTTGTTTATAGCACTGTTCATGATTAAGATATAAATTGTATCAAGACGGATTCAGGTTTATCAAAATTTATGTAAGGGGGCGTCCATAAATTATGTGAGGTGTTTTTTTAAGTTTCTGTCTGTCCCTCCCCCCCTGGTGAGATGTCGTGAGATTTTATTCAACCCCCTCCTCCATCTCCCAATCTCACCTGAGATTTTTCAAAATTTGGGAATTTTCAAATTCAGTCATAGATTATTTTTATGGAAGCCAAATTTAAAAGTAAAAGTATATAAATGAAAACCAAAGAGTAAAAGAAGAAGAAGAATGAAATTATTTTCTTTCGAACGAATAAGTGAATGATCTAAATCGTATACGATTACACTTAAGATTAAATCTTAAGTATGTACAATCTGGATTAAATGGACCAAAATAGTATAATTTTCTTTTGTTTCAATCAGAAAAAAAATTGCGTGATATTTGCCAAGACCCCCCATCTCTCTAACGTTAGACTAGATGAGATTTGACTCTACCCCCTCCCCCCTTAAACATCTCACATAATTTATGTACGCCTCCTAATACAAATTAACAAATTATTATTTAGTCATACTATTCTTCACTGACAAAATTAGGCATGTGGTAATACATTTTGCATTATAGATTCTATTCTAATGGATAGAGAATATTTAAATTTTGCTATATATTATTAATATACTTACGTTTGCTCTTCTGATAGTTGCTTAATAACAAGAGCCAGTGTGGACAGAGATTTGTTTATGTGTGTGCCTTCTTTGAATCTTATTCCTGTGGCACCAGTTTGACCAGCACGCTCTGAACCAGCCAGGTCTACGAGATTCAAGGTGGAAACATTCACACAACCAACTTCTTCTTCACCTTCTATATGTTCACGGGATTCGATTGTCTGACATTTGAAATGGACAAATTAAAATTGATAACTCATGTTCAACAAATTCACCATGGCCCGATTTTTTAAGTATGCATTATTAGCTAATTCAGATGCCTTAAATTACTAGGCTACTGAGGCTCGCTATCTTTGTAAAATTTATCAACATTTTTTGTTTTTCTTTTACTCGTAAAAATAAGCTCTATAATCTTTATGAAGTATGACACTATAGTTACTGCATTTCTCAATACTTTCAATTTCAACTAATTACATTATAAACTTATCAATGTATGGTCCGTGAGCCGTGAGTGATTAACATATTCATTGTTAGATTTATATAGAGATATTGTTGTTGTATTATTCATGGATTGGAGGTATGTACGTAATAGTCTTCATTATTATATAGGTGATATTTTATTTGTATTAGTAACTTTTGACCACTTAGCAACTATAAGATTAATAAATAATGGTAACATTACTATTTGTATGATAATTAATTGCATAATTTTATTAATAAATAAATGAAGAAAAACAGTAATATTAGCACTGAATAAAAATCTTAGAAATCATCTGATCACAGTTCCAAATTGTTGCTCTATATTACAATATATAATTAATTTATTGATTATGATTTACAATAATAAATCAAAATCTTATTTGGCAGTGTCCAACAAAATATAGGTAGTGTATTTACGAAATGGTGTAGTGTTCAAGGGACTTATTAAATGACTCACAATTTGAAATATTGAATGTGATCTACTGCTTTCCTCATTCATGTTGGTGGCTCCTGTTTGTCGATTTGCCTGACCCTGTTAAAAAAAACTATTTAGCTACAAAATACTCACTGATAAAAAATGATTGTGTTTTTATTTTACAATTACCTGTGGTTAAAAAATTAAAAAAAAAAAATGTTTAGTTTGAGATTATCCAATGTAGGATAAATCCAAAACACTATTCTATTGAACAGTATATTGCATTTATACAATTTTTTTATTTATCTATTGTTAGGTTTAATTTAGACTTCAGGTAAGTAATTTGAAATATTACATACAAAACTCAAGATTTAACAAGTTTAAAAAAATATATATATACCTATTTCTATCAGGATTAATAATTATCATGAAAATTAATATTTTTTTGTTTCCGATAATTATTCATAGTCACATAGAAATCACATTAAATAAAAAGTAAAATAAAAAATATTTTCAATAAAAAGGGGGAGCTTTAATATCTGTGATTTCAAACCCAGTCTTTAACAAATAAGATTCCTCAATACAAGAAATTTGAAATGATACAATCGTAACCTGCTTGTACATGTAATAATAGTTATACTGTATATTAAATCTGCATTTAAGTACATAATATTCTGAGTATGCCAATCTCACAATTAATTGCTAAGGGGGATAGTAACGTGTATACAGTGATAATAATGCACTGGTAATAGAGTATATTACAATATAAGGAACAAGGTTTAGAATACCTCTTTTAAATATTTCAGCACTTCTTCTGGTGAGGTGGTAACTTGCTCTGTACAGTCAACTTTAACACCTTGTAAGGTTTCATGCACTTTTGAGATCTTCTTTTCCACATTAAGCAGATCCATCAGTGTTTCGTTATAGATTTCTATGTAAGATACTCTAGAAAGATTAAGGATACAAATTTTACTTTCTCTAAATAATTTTATTGACGGCAGCTTAGTCAGCCTCTTTAGATACAAGTATTGCCTCTGTGTATCTTGTGTTTTATGTATTCTTCTTAAATCTCTTTTTCTTTGCTAAAATCTTTTATTAACTACAGGCCACTGTTCTTACATTTAATAACAAATTTTTAACAATAATTTTTATGAAGTAAGCACATACATTACAACATAATTAAGATATTCAATCTACCTTACTAAGAAGTCTCTGTTAGGTATATTTTTAATGTTCTCAAATAGGTTGAAAACAGCAAGTGGTATTATTCCAGGTGAATCTTCTGTTCCTGTCATGGTGTATGTTTTCCCTGACGAGGTCTGTCCATAAGCGAAAATAGTTCCATTGAAGCCAGCTGTGGCTGCTTCCACAATAGGTTTTGCTATATCATTGTAAATATGAGTAGTTTTCGTATCTTTATCATAGACTTTGTCTGAAATGCAGTAATCCCTTATTAAAATATAATTGCGACCTTTTATTAATGACGTAAACTTTGTAAGTTAGGTAAGCAAACATCAAATTAGGATAAAATATATACGATCACCAATGACAGTAGGTAACCTGCAGTAACCTCAAAAGAAATACTTACCAAATGTAAAGGACGGACCAAAATCACGCCCATTTTGATCGAGTTGGCATAAAGTATTATTTTTAACACGCCATTGATATGAAAGTTTTTCTTCTAACTCACGAGAAATCAGAGGTCTTACTTTAACGACTACTTTGATATTGTCACTCATTTTTGACTCTCATAAAACACGGCAGTGAGCTTAATTGAATCAGTCACAGTTAATTGGAATTTCTAAATTCTGCGCAATAAACATTTCGCTAAGGATTGCAATTTTCGACTTTAGCATTACTTTTCTAATCCAAATAAACCAACAAGACAACAGGCGGAGCAAATGTCAAAAAATAACTGAATTTTTAAAAAATCTGTTTTATTTTTCACTTACCAACTGGAAATGGAAAAGGCAAAGGCCTAAAAATACCATACAGCCAAAAGTAGATTCTTTTTTCAATATTTTTCTTGATGTTATTCTTCTTTATATTTAAATATATACTGTATTTTGAACTGTAATTTGGATGTATTTGTAGAGGACAAAATAATACTGGGAATTTTTAGAGCATTAATTTTTTTATTTTGTTTATTTTAACCAACATCTTATAGATTGTATAGAACAGAAATAGTGAATCTTATAATATAACTTAAACTGCCGATGAAAGATAAAAATTTGGACAACTGATATATTTACTCTTATAATTTCATTCGACATTGGGTATAATATGTTGGTTTTTCGATATCAATATTATTTTGTATATTGATATTTTGAGGCGTCCATATATCGATATTTATCGGTTTTCCGATATATGGTAATTGTTGCATCCAAAGATTACAATATTATACTGGTAAGTTGCATCCTTACTCGTCAGTCACTACCATAGAAAACTATATAATCTGTGACATTTCCTACCTCGAAACACATGTGTCTTTTTTTAAATAGGTTTTTAGTAAATAATTTATTAATTGAACCATTATTCTTTCACTTTAAATATGCAGCATGATGATGTAAGTGTAGTTTTATTTATAATATTTAATCTCTTTAAATTATTCACCAAGGTTTTTCTGTCTGTAATCTTTATTTCCAGGTTGTTTGGGCTATCATCAATAAAAGACATTGTTCACATAAAGTAACGTAAGTATATAGTTAAAAAGACGTGGTTTTATAATTTTGTGTATAATGTTCTACATGTCGCATTGTCTTACAGTACCAAAACTCAACATTTCTGTCGAAACGAATATAACCTTACTGGTTTATGCAGTAGAGCTTCTTGTCCCCTTGCAAACAGCAAATATGCAACAATAAAAGAAGAAAATGGTATAATATATCTATATATGCGTACTGCTGAAAGGTAGGTTACCTTTTTAATAAGTTTTAATAAAAAAATTGATAATGTCATATTATAATGTAATTTATAATGTAGTTTTTAATATTTTAGAATAATGTTTCCAGCAAAACAGTGGGAGAAAGTGAAACTATCCAGGAATTTCGAAAAGGCGATATATCAGATAAATGAAAATCTTTTATATTGGCCTGCATTCATAAAAGCAAAATGTAAACAAAGATTTGTCAAAATTACACAATACCTTATTCGCATGCGTAAACTGAAATTACGTAGGGTGTAAGTATAAAAACATTTATTTTCATTTTATGTGTTGATAGTGTGGTATACATAAAAACTTCTAGAGTGAGTTAGGCTATTGTATCTCTTAGACTAAATCTACCCTGTAAAAGACACAGGGTAGCTGAATGAAAGTTTAAAACAACATATTAACCTTTCAGTTCTTGGCCTCATTGGTATGCAATTAAAACAAAGAGATAATAATGTATGAAGTGTATCCAGGCTCCAATGGATTAAGAGATAATATTCTTAATGAAAAATACTTAAAAAATCCACTTGGTCCCTGGCACCCTGAGAAAGGATTCGACCCATGACTTTTTGCAATCTGATACCATCTGGCGACTGCTTTGAAGCAGCAATAGCATTGTGAATGATAAATTGATCAAATATAATAAGCGATGATAGTTTTTAAGTAAAATTTACAGTTCTTCAAATAAGCGGCTAATGTTTAAGTATAAATTCATGATGATTTGTATTTTTCCTAAGGGAGCTCTGGCTGTCTTTGGCAAATCAAATAATATTGGCGCCCATTATTATTTGCCATGCCTAGGACAGCCAGCAAATAAACATTTCATGAATAGAGTCACTTAGGTATAAATATTTTATTTTCAAGAAAAACTAAAGTAATGTGTAGGCATGTAATGTAATATTAATGCCAGTAATATAATTTATATAATATAAAATGATTTTATTTTCATTGCAATTAAAAAGAGAGGCAGATAAATATCGAAGACTGTACTTCTTCATTATTGTTTGCACTTTCAGTAAATAAGTGTGAAATGGATAGTATTGTGTTTTAATTATTTTGTTAATAATTCAATATAATGTTTTTCATAGTAGTGTTTGATGTTTTTTTATAATTATTTTCAACATTATTTTAAAATTCATATAATCTTTAACTGTACTAAATTTCCTACTCTTACCATGCAATACTTGTAAAAAGTGGGTCCAAAGTTTTGTTTTATGAATGTAAAGATTATTCATTTATGTATATTATTTTTTCAGAAAAGAATTAGTTCCCATACAACGTAAGATTGAGAGGCGTGAGAGAAGACGGGAAGAGAAGGCTCTAGTTGCTGCTAGAATAGACAATGCAATTGAGAAACAATTGTTGGAAAGACTTAAAAAAGGCACTGTAAGTAACTTAGTAAAGATTTGTCTAATTAATAGAGATATGACAGGCCACTATTTTATTTTTCTTCATCATTCAAACTCTATTTTCTAATATTTAGTGATGATTATATGTCATTATAGGATTTTTAAAACATGGCTAAAAAAATTCTGAAGTCAAAATTGATCATTTATATTATTTATTTATTTTAATTTTACTCATCTCTAAAAAGGTCAGCTACCAAATTGCACCTCTGATAATGGGTTTTTGTTGTGATAGTGACATAATTAAATGCTAATCAAATAATTATTTTATTAATATTACAGTATAATGATATTTATAACTTCCCACAAATGGCCTTTGATGCTGCTCTCAAAGCAGAAGAAATCTCTGGAGATAGTGAAAGTGAGAAAGAAGACGAAGAGGAGAGAGAAATGGAGATAGAGCCAGAATTAGAACATGAATTGGAGAAGGCTGTTGAAGAAACAGATGAATTTGTTGAAGCAGAGAGTGATATGGATTCTGATGAGGTAAAATATTATTTTCAAGGAGTATTTTCCAATTATAGTACAATTTCTGTTCATAAGACTTTAAATTACTCTTTGCTGTGACAGTAAATATTTCATAAATATTTTTTTTTGTTACCCATTAGTAATTCACATTATTAATATTGATTTGATAATGGCAGTTTTTTTAAATGTGGTTAATTCCGTTAGAGCTGGTGAGTTTCATTTGCTAGTTCTTTTTCTCAGCCATGATATCCTGTACTGTCAGTGAAAAAATGATAGACAATTTTTTATTTATTTATTATTGTGTCAATAAATAAATAAAAATTCATCTAACACTACAGAAATCCATTATATAAATTACATCACATGATGGTTTAAATAAAGATCAAGCTCAACTGACATCCTTAAATGTACAAATAAAGAAACTTACAATGATTTTATAGGATTATTAAAACGGGGAAATTAATTACCTTTAATAACTTTATTTGATTAAATATCATTTTGACTTTGACCTGCTTCATTTATTATGATAACTTACTGTATTTGTGTAGGTCAAGCAAATCTAAATATAAAATTATGTTAATACAGGAAAGTGATTCTGGTAAAAGAGAACATGCTGATGTTGGAAGTGATTTTGAATCGGAAACATCTGATATTGAAGTAAGTACATATAGTTATTTGTATATATGTATGCATGATTAGTTTGTAGAACACCAGTCATTAAGCATTTTGATAGTGACTGCATCTTTTGCTTTAACTCTAGGCAAAGCTATAAAAACGATTCATTGTTCTGTTAATCTATAATTAAATTTATCAATCAATTATCATTTATTATTATCATTATTTATCAATGGTTTTGATTATTGTACTATGGTTAGACTTTTAGTGAGAGAGTTCTCAATAAAAAACTTTTATAAAAAAAAGGATTACGTAAAACAAATAAAGTATTTATTAACTAAAAACCGTTATTATACCATACAAGAATACCTGAGTGAAAACTTGTAACTCTAATTTAAATGAAATATTCTAGTTTTGTGTCTTCATTTTAATATCTATTAAATAGGTTAGTTTTCAACACATAAATTATTTCGTTTATAATAGAAAGGAAATATTTATTACCTACATTTTAAAGCACAGTGGAGCCTATTTGGAGATGGGTAGCCCTCTCCAAATTTGCTGTGCCTGGCAGAGTCCATAATGCTACTTTTGTTTTTATGGACATCTTAATACGACATTGTAGAATGCAATAAAATAAAAAATAAAGTAAGGCAGACGCCTAGTAGTCAAATATTATAAATAAATGTATAAGTAATGTCACAAACAAAAATAGTATAATATGTTAGTGCAAATACATTCCTGTTATCTGAGCCATTTCTTGTTAAATTGAAGTAAAAAAAAAAATACGTGTCTAATATTTTTATATTATCTGATTGGGAGACTGAATAGACTTTTTTTTTATCCAGACGGCATCCCTATTCTGATTGATTTTTAAATTAAAACTGTTAAATTATGATAGTGATATTCTTAATGAGAAATAGTTAAAAATTCCCTGATCACTGAATTTGTATAACAATTATATTAAATCTTCAACATTATATATCATTATACAAACATATTAAAATGTGTTTTAACGTTTTATTGATGATTTTATTCCAGGATATTGCTGAGAAGATGGTCACCAAGATGAAACCACGAATAGAGATTGAATATGAGACAGAAAATACTATAGGCAATCCTAAAAAAAAAATAAAATAATAAAATAATTAACGACCAGACATGTGTTTTATTTTCTTTATAATAAATAGGAATTTATCAAACGTGGACAAAACCATATTTGATAAATATTACATTCATAATGCTATAACTGGAAAATTTCTAAATGAAAAATTATATTTTTCTAAGTGTCGTATAAATTTAGAATAGTAGCAATTCTGTTGAAACCAGACTCAATTTAGGTTTTAATCCTGTCGCATGCATTTCCATCATGTAAAGCGAGCGTATTTTTGACAATGAGTAAAGTAAAAAAAATATAACATCATGCGTGAGTACTGTGTTTACTCTTTTATATTTTAATTAAAATAATAAAACGTCATTGAAGCGGGCATTTTTTCGTGCCTCGTGATCTACGATTGGGGGAGTTTTGAGTTGACTTTTTTAGTTGAGATCTTTCATTCGTTTCATTTTCGTTTTACATGTAGAAATTAATTTATTCACTTGACATTGGCAGAATTGTGCGAAATGCGCAGATAAGCCATTAATAAAAGAAGAAGAGTTGACTCGTAAAGTAAGTTTATGTCGTTCTAACAAGAGGTATGCTGTAATTCTAATAGGGAGATAATTATTTTTGAATTTTTCGTGCTCTTTGTTATTGTAACGCTAGCACAATAAAGTTTACACTGTTTTATAACCCAATAAGGTACGGGTAACCTATCTATAATATATCTAATAATAAAACTTCATTGCTTTTTTTAAAATTTCTCATGCAAAAAGTATTTGGTTTCAATATATTAATTTTATTAAAGAATAGCACTTCAATAATACTGTGAATGTGTCAATTGAGGGTAGTTTTGTCTAATGTTATTTGGAACTGAGAATATGAACTGTCTGTTGTTTAATACAGTATAACCTATTTAGTATACATTACTGTCCTATCGGTGATGCTCTTGGCACCCTCAGTAACAGAGCGATGCTTTGATTATCAACGTGTGGGATCAGTAAATTTGTATGGGGCGTGGGATTGGGAGCAATACTGTAGGTGTAGTATGGTGGGCAGCCAACGTGTTAATTAAATGTTTAGGTTAGGTAGGGACGTTTTAGATAGTTTACTACTTTAAATAATGGAACGAAAAAAAAATATATTTCTATAAAAAATGTCCTTCAAATTTTGTAAGGTATGTTTTGAACATACAAAAACGGCTTTTAAACTATCAATTGACAACGAATAGGAGATTAATGCGATGATCCTAAAAAATATGCATTTTTGTACTACATTTCCTTTACATATGGCTGCTCGTCAGGCATTAAGATTTAAAATCAACTAAAGAAATTTGACAGTTTTGGATAGTCTGACGTGCTGGTAACTGTACTCTAGATTTGGGGTACATCGGAACAATACTGTACCTATATGTGTAAGCTGTATTAAAATAAAGAAAATAAAAATATTTTATGCCCTTTTAGGTAAAGAATTCATTTTATTAATTTGTTTTCGCACAATATAGTATTTTCAATGAGTCTTGAGATTCATCTTAATAGTGAAACTGGCAGGCAGCTACAAATTTTCCTTACTAATTTTCAACACTTCGGCTTTTAAATGTGGAGCCATTATGCCCTATAAAGTCTTGAAAACATAAAACACTAAAATTAAAATCTTGAATTCGGTTTTCTAACTTACATATAACTTTATTTAATACCTAAACTGGGTAGCATTGTATAAGACTTACATTATATCGCTCACTGAATAGTACCTACTCAGAGAGGTAGCAACACCATTGCACAAACTTAATTATAATAGGTATTTAGCTGTAATACAAATTGCGTTTTAAAATCTGTAAATAACATAACAGAAATACTTTAATTACTAGCTCTCCGCCCGCGGCTTCTCATGGAATTGTTTTACGCAATAAAACCTATCGGCTTGACGGCTTCATGCTTTAACTTCCAGAACCTAAGGAGATTTTTGTACGTAGCAATCTAATTTCGTACCCACGCTCCCCGATGTACCAAAATATCTTTATAAAACTTGTATTTAGGCGAAAGGTTAGCAAACAATACCTAGGTGTACCTGCCATAATACTATGGGGATACCTGAAAGGAAAAAAAAATTTGGACGTTTCAAAAGTGCTTGTATAGCCTATTTGAATAAAGATATTTTCATTTCATTTCATATGTATTTTCTAAATATTTACATATTTGACACTGTAGGTTGTTTGTTACCTACCGTAGTTAGCTCGAACCTTTGCCTAATGCAATGTGATAGTGTAAGTTTAATACTTGAGATTCAATACTTTTGATATATCTTTCTAACTTGAAAGATTCTCGAGTTGCGGTGATTCTCTTTGATAAGTATATTGGTACAAAATATTAAATCGACAAAAAAATAGCACGTCGCTCTAAAAATCTATATCACCTTAATTAATCACTAAAAACTTAAATTTAGCACCGGCTCAATTTAAAAGATTTGAATAAATATAATCTTGCTTTTCAGAGCCGTCTCGTAAGGTCGCCGAGTATATTTGAATTTATTTACAATAAATCGTAACAAACACTTATTAGATGATTAGTAATACAAAATGAACAGAACAAATACTTATTTAAAAGGAAAGTCTTTTAATAATACAAGACGGGCATAATTAAATCGCGAACAAAGTGCCGCCGCCGAAGGAATTCCAAATTCATCCCTCGCACTCCATTGAAAGTCTCTTCATATCCGATTCCTCCTAAATAACTTTAATTAGCAGAAGACGCGCTTGATTTTCGATTCATGGCAAAATCCTTAATTGTCCAGCGATAAATGCGGACCTAATTATTATTGGAGAAAGTAGATGTGCATTCATAAAATTTTCATCTTTGATATTCATATCTTGACTGAGAGAAAAGTTTATTTTTCTTTTCGTTTTATTCCAATTTGGGTTAAATATATGGAATAATGTTTCTGTCGCAGCCAAGTAGTTAAATCAGCCATCCAAGCCGTTTCAAATTTTTAAACTAGTTTAAACGCTTTTTGCTTCAGCCATTGTAGTGCCTCATACGTTACGTAATGTCGCAAAAATATATCCGACTGAATATCGCTCACTGAATAGTACAGTGGCACAACTCAAAAACCATTTTTTTGAGAAAACGCCACAACATTGTGGTGACATACCATAGATAATTTAAATAATAAACTTAACAGTAATAATATAATACAAACGATTTAACTGTTATGCTAAAAAAATGATTTTCATAATTATAAATATATTAAATTTTCATAACTTCGGAGAGCGTTTCTCGAAATATGGTTTTTGAGTTGTGCCACTGTACCTACCCTTTATTTGTGGTACGAGTTGTGTTGATAACTCTTAGTCTAATCATAATGTAACTAAGCAACTTACGTATTGAATCTATCAATTTAATGCATAAAACTTACCTACAAACTTAGAGAATGAAATTAATTTTGATGAAAATCAATTTCGTATTCTTGACTAATTTTCGTTGTCACGAAATTCAAGGCGATACCCAATGGAACGGAAAACGAAAATTGGGTATTCATTTAAATGGTGTGCGCGCAACAATGACAATAACAACATTAGCGCTACGAGGAATAAATTATTTAATTTATCATTCGACATCTTGCGCGTTTGTATGGGCATCAAACAATTGTTCCATCTTTAATACTAATGTCGGTATCATATACCTCTGTACCTATTGTTTAAATATTTATATACCTGTGATTATAATATTTGTAAATCTATTGATTGTATTCGAGACAATTTTAAGTTTAAGTTTTTAAACGATTTCAAATCGAAGAAGAGGAGGTTCCATACACATGCATAAAGAACAATGGTCAAAATGGACTACGAAAAAAAAAATTCTTGTACCAAGATGAAACTATCATCAAAATGTAGTATAAGTTGAATGTAATTATTGTATACCAACAATTTATTTTTAAAAGCTGGGAAAAGAAAGATAATCCTCTCTAAAATATGTCTTTATTTTTTAGAACACAGTTTAAATTATGTTATTTATGAACGCATCTTATTAATAATGTCATTCCTAGAGAAGTCCCTCTCTTTTCAAAGAACAAGATCGATTTTGTTTCTCACGAATCTGATACAAATCTTATATTATTTACTAATCATATAAATCCGTGAAAATTATAAAACTTAGATTAGATTACTAATATAATTAGATGTTACTTAGACGAATATAGTTTATTTATAATGAAATTAAAAACTAATGATTATTCATAAGAATCGATATTACAGTATTCAATTGATTGCGACCTCCCTTTTTTAGACAAGTATGTGTAGAAGTGTTTCTTTCTACGCAGACCGTTTTGTAACTTGAGCGGCGATTTTGTATTATCTTCTGTATTATGGGGAGCATACTAGGTTCCATGGGCAGTATAGAATCGAGGTCTGGAGAGAAATACTGGATTCTCTGGATTTATCAGAATTAGACTTAAATATAAATAAAGTCCAAATTACAAGAGGTAGAATTAAGTCGATACATTGGGAGGATACAATATTAAGTGTACATTTTAAAAAATAATGACAGATCTGTAATTGTGTTATTGGTTGATGTACACTGGGATGCTGTGCTCATATAATGACTATAGTTTGGTATCGGATGGGCCAGACACGAACAGAATGTAGCTGCTCATAGTGCTCATATTCATTAGAGTTGTAATAAAGAAAAGAAAAATCAACATGTTGTTTTGCTATATCCTTTTGAAATTAGTATTTTCACTACTACTTTATATAAGTTATAGTGTAAGATAGAAAAGTAGAGTTATTGAGAGCAATCTTAAAAATTATATTTCTTTTTTGATGTTCATTGGTTCACAAAAAATGATTTTATTTCTTACAGTCAATAAAAATGATATATCAGATATGGAACAAGTTTGAAGTATTATGTAAAAGTATGCACTTCTAGGGTCACGATTAGTCATTATCTGACGTGTGCTTTACATATTTCAACTGTAATACCTCTAACTCAAAATGCTACAGTTTAAATAATACGACATAACCTCAAAACATATTACACAATTACTCGATACTCCCAGCTTTTAAAAATATAT